CTTCGTTCTTGCTTAGTCGGGTATCATCTTTCTTGAGCCCCCCCCACCACCACCCCCCACCCACCAGCGGACCAGTGAACCCAAAAAAAAAAGACGAAGCAAAGCACACAATGCAAAGACTAATCGAGTTGTACCGAAACAAAGCAAAGTCATTGCTTTCGCAGCATCAGGCTACCGAAACGATGCCGTCATCATCGTAGGCCAGCAGGTCATGTCTCCCCGTGGCCTCATCGGGCTCGGCATCGATACACTCGATAGTAGCGTCAGCGAGATGCGGGAGATTTTCGAAGTATTTGCCGGTGGCGACGCACAACGCGAATCGAAGCAAAGTACAACCAGCAATGGTGGCGGCAGCACGGATCCTTCGACTACATTCATCTCACCACCCTATCCTTATCCCGTTATCGTCCACTGCACCCAGGGCAAGGACCGCACAGGACTGATCATTCTGCTTCTTCTGCTTCTGACAGGTGCTGTACCCCAAGACGCCATTCGGGCCGATTATGTTCTCTCCGAGGGAGAATTGGTCATCGAGGTGGCGGAGCGGATGAAGGAGATTCGGCTGCTGGGGCTGTCGGAGGATTATACCAAGTGTCCCGAGGGGTTTACGGCGCAGATCTGCGCGCATCTTGAAGCTAAATATGGGGGTGTCGAGGGGTATTTGAAGCAGGCCGGGGTGGATGAGGAAATGTTGGAGCGGGTCAAGAAGAATTTACTTGCATGATGCCGTCTGGGATCTAATCAAAATACCCATATAGACAGCATAAAAGTGAGTATCTACCTACCTAATCACAGGTCGGAGCATGTGGGGCTGCAAGCAAGACCTACTCATGGCTACGGGCAACTGGAAATCGACTTGCTCCATTCTTTGCTTTGTATCCAACAAGGACCGGCAAAACTCGGGTAGGCAGAACAAATGGACTCCCACCCAAAATTGACCCTATTACAATAACCAAGGTTGAGATATAATGACAGAACAAGAAATCAGACTCTAAAGAACAAAAGGACCCACAGGGTATCGTAGATATTATCGCCTCGTCTCACATGTGTGACTTTATATGTGCAATGAACAATCAAAAAGCAATTCTTGTCCCTAGGCCGCTCGGGAAATAATGACGGGGTCCTTTATTATATTCGCTGGCCGCGGTAGTAACTGGCATTCGGTCCCGCCGAATCTGTCGTGACGGGCTCCTCGTACGTCCCTCCGTCGCTGCTGTTGCTGGCATAGGCGTGTCCGTTCCGGATCAACTTCTCGCCCTGCGGTACGTGTTTCCGAGTACGGACAGATGGTAGTAAATCGATCACGAAGGATAGGACATAGAATGTGAAAATCAAAGCGATCACTAACAACCCAATTATTTGTCAGCTATTTGGGACGGGTCCGGTTTTGAGTGTTATGCGCCACCAAGCGTAACTTGGGGGCTGAAAACCGAACTTACCCCATTCCAAAACCGCAGCGGTATTGCGATAATGCCCGCCTTTTCGGCCTAGAACCCCAAATGCGATCGCTAGAGCAATCTCGATGATCACAAAAGCGAGCTTGACGCAGAAACTGGCCAGGAGAATGCGATGTTGAGAGCGGTAGAAGATGCCCAAGCGCCAGTATTCGCAGCAGATGAGGATCGCGCTGATGAGGTAGCCGACCAGAAACATCACCAGGAACCCATCATGCATGTGCGGATGCCGCAAGGTATCGTAAATTGAGAGCAGGATTAGCCCTAACGCGCCGGCGACGGAGAAGCAGATCGAGGCGATCGCGCAGCACTTATCGAAGAGGCCCTTGTTGGGTACTAACTGGCCGGCGTGTCGAAGCCATCGTTCAGAAAGGAAAGAGAGGTCGAGGAAGACGACGGTTACGCAGCTCCCTGCGATGAACAATGGCTTGAGACCCTGTGCGCCGACGTCTGAGATATAACTAGAGGTGTTCCAAGTGGTCGTTCATGTTAGTTTCATGCACATAAACTGTGACTTGGACTTCGAAGCTCCATGTGCTCAAGTTTCCACGGGTTGGCTGATTTCAGAGAAAACTTACGCTATGGTCTGACCGGATTCCATACTTTCGTAAATAGGGCTACCTTCTCGAGCCCAGGTTGCCAGCATAGCGATTAGCATGGCTGAATTGGAGCAGTGATTGGATTAGCATTCAATTCTAGCCGATGAGAGTCTTGTGCGATCTTTACTATGGGCAGGGCGCGTACCGATCCAGGTGCATGCTGAGACGACCGGGAAAACCCAGAATGAGATGATCCACATCGTTATTCAATACAGTATTCTTGCGCTGAGGTATTTGCGCTGTATATGTTCGTTCTTTAGCTCCTCACCGAGAGACCAGCACAGGCTGATGAGAGTATTTCTGTAAAAAGTAGAGTAAACCTTGGTCAAGCGATCGGCTGGAACGGAAAGGGCGGAAGTGGCTTAAGCCTGCCGATGCGGTGCCAAGCTTGAAGAGCTTGAAGCAAAGGATATCGAACGACAGCAGATGAAGAAGATAGAGGACGCAAGAGAATACAAATAGGAGGGAGTAAAGGTGACCCAAAGGAGGGGGGGGGGGGTGTGATCATGATTATCAATTGCTGGGGCAGAAGGACCCATGACGACGACGAAGCTCGACCCACCGCATCATCATCACCACTCACAAAATCATACATTGTACTGTACAGTGTACAGTACACTGCACCTCAGGACAGGACCGTACCTTATTTAGTCCCGCTCTCAAGCCCGAACGAGCCATGACTTCATCGACGTCATCGCCAGTGACCAATTTCCCTCTTCCGCTTTCTTTCCCCCCAGCGTTACCACTCAAGTAGTCACCTTTTGTTCTTTCCGAGCTCCTCCTCTCCAGGCTCTTTTCCCTTAGGAATTTGTTTCCATTGGTTTTATTTCTGTTTTCTGTCGGGTTTACGGCTTACCCACTAGATAAACTCAGCATGTACTCCACTTACTGTACAGAGCACACAGCATTAATTCCACAGTCAAACATGGACATCCCATTTAGCTGTTGTGTGTACTCTACCTGGTATCGACCAGCTCGATTACCAACTACTATATACACACGCTCCAAGCTCGCACACTAATCTGACATTGTGTAAGGATTGAGTAGCTAATGGCTCCAGTCTAATAAACTCCGTGACGCTTTTATAGGTTCGAAATCTCGGGACGACGGCAGTATGCCCCCAGGAGGCACGCATACAAAACACAAGCCCCAAGAACACCCCGTATAGAATATATAGGGACCCAAGCTGCTTGGAAGATCAAGGACGGCTGCCGCGCTGACGACGTCCTCGCCCAGGTGGCACCCGCGTTGGCATGCCGGCGGGCACTCTCCGCTCCACCACGTCTACAATATGCAATTCATCGCTATTGTCGTCCAGATCACTGCTCTGATGCCCCTCGCCATTCCGAAGGTATTTCTCCGTCGCCTTGCCCAATCGTCCTTGGGATGCTGTCGCATTATGTGCGCTGTTGGGAGAACCATTGAGAACAGTCCGATAGTCGAGCATGGATGTCGTTCCCACACGGCCGACTGAGCCACGCCAATGATCTAGCGGGTGCGGCGGGGGATCCATAGGATATGGAGGCTGATAGGTGGATACCCATTGGGGATCATCGGAGAGAGGACGTGTAAAGGCCGGTCCACGCATGGATTCAGGATTGCGAACAAGAGGTACCGATGGCGATCGCTCTGAAGAGTAAGCTGGCTGGAGCGGAGACCGAGGGGGCGTGTGATTGGGTTGGGGGCGAGCAGAGGGCGACTTCGGTGAGGCTTCAGGCACGAGGGAAACACCTGAAGTCCTCGCCCAAAAGGCATAGGCACTATTGTTATCTGCCAAGGAAGACGGCATGCCATGTTTACTTGGAGATGAAACATTTGAATTGCCGCGTGAAATCCCCCCAGAGACTCGTTTGTTGGGGCTTGCGGGAGACCTCAGGTGTCGGTTACCAGAGGACATTCCTTTGAGAGGGCTGCCGCGGGGATCAAGCTCCGGTGTTTCTCTCGATTCCATTCGCTTGCGCTCAATCGCCTCCAGCTCCCGTTTTGATAAGCGCACGTTCTTCTGACCCTGAACCTGTGCGCGCCGTATTCGGTCAAGTGCCTGATCCACTAGCCGCTCCTCTTTATCCTTCATGGCTAACTGCACTGCATATGCAATCGTGCTGTCCATGTTATCGTGTAGGTCATAGTCCATCTCATCGACAGCCGCCATGTTGTCTCCATCGTCATACTCTACCATCCGCCTTCGTCGAACTGATCCTCCACCCATATTCTCAGCCGTCACCTGTCTTGCGTACAGTGCGCGCGTGTCGCGGCAGACGTATACGTCATCATCATCATCCTCCTCCTCCTCTTCGCTACCTAACTCCTCAAACCTTGAGCCCTCATCCACCCACGGAGCCGCACGTCTCCTAGTCTGTCTCCCCACTTTTGCCCCCGGTGATCTTCCCCATCGGGGCATACCGTAAGGAGTTCGCGGCCGACCACCTAGACCGCCTCCTCGGAAAAAGCATTCTCGATAGGCTTATCCATAAAAGCGGCATGGCCAAAAACAGCCACGCCGGTGGCTCCGATTAACCAGAGCACAGTAGCAATAGGCGAGGCCCAGAATCCCAAAGGTATCGCAAAAAGTAGCAGCCCTGTGTAAAGCTGGGAGGTATTGAAGCGGGCAACACCCAAATCCAGGTCTCGACCCTGAAGCTTACCGATTCCGTAGAGACTGCCTGTCACGAATATGATGACAAAGAGCAGAAGCGGGTTTGTCAGCAAACTGTAGATGCTGAGCATCACGAAGACGGCGGCATAGTTGCTTGAGAAATAAGACAGGTTGTAGTTTACCCGGCTCTGGACCTCGCCAAAGTTGGCCGGCTTCGAGATACGCTTGACATCAAGGAACTCGGAAACAGGACGAAGGTTGGCAAAGCGTGTGCTGAAAGATTGAGAACGAACACTATTGAAGCGCTCACCGAATCGCGAGGTAATCGCATCGATAGGGATCTGGAGGGGACTCATATTGAGAGTCTAGAGGACGAGGGTGATAGTGGGACGAATGTTAAACGAAAACTTGAAGAGGTTGAGTGAGTAATTGTAGCACGGAGACTCAGCTTGAGTTGACTTTTATTGGCAGTAAAGATGAAAGAGGAATTGTGTTTGATTGATATGAAATAGGCAGCAAAGAAAAGGGGGAGAAGAGGATGCAACGGAAGCGTGCGGTCAGTGCAGTGGTGAACAGGAATTCCCACAACTGAATTGAACTGGCTTAGTTGGCCCAAACGCCCAAGGCCTCTCCCGCCCGTAAGTTAGTCTTGTCCTATTTTGTCAACCCGGAGTGCGGGAAGGACATTTAAGCACAGACAACAGAATAAAGGCTGCTGAAGAGCACTCCAGGCTGCAAAGTGCAAACTCTTGGAAACAACTGGACTTCCCCAACCGGCGAGCGACGAAAGGGAAGGAAACAGTCAACCGTGGGAGGAAAGAACGAAAATAAGGTGATAGCCAGCCGGACGGTGGAAGAAGTGGATTCGCTCTAAGAATAGAAAAGATGAGTGGAGAGGGGCGGGAGATGCTGGTTGCAGATTTGTAGCAGAGCAATAGAGAAACCTTGCTGGCAGGTCAAGCTGAAAGAAAAGCACGGAGTGAGGTGCTCGGGACCAGAAAAGAAAAGGCTCACTTACCCTCCTGCTTGTCGCGTCTCTCAATCTCAGCCTATCAGTCTATGACTTAGTATGTCTTGACAGTTTGACCTTGATGACCGTCTTTGTTTTCGTTGTCGTTCTCCGATTATTGCCTGAGGCCAGCAAGCCCGGGAGCCGAAAGATGGAAGAACATGCAAGGCTCCCATCAATGGGGAGGGGGGAAGGAAAAAGGAATTGCGACTGCCCTGAGGCGTTCTTGAACCCGGCTTCCAGTACCACCTTCTCCTCCCAGAACCAAGGGTTCAGGGCTTGGAGAGCTCTGGCCGCACTGTAAGCGCGTCAGTCACATCTTGTCTGCCGCAGTCATCCCCATTGCTGTCTCAAAGTACTGTGCATACACAAGTTGGAAAGCGAGTGAGCCCGGATCATTATTGGTCCACGTTGTGTGTCTGAGTAGATCATTTCCACTGAATAGCGAAGACTACTAGGTAGCTGTTATAATATGTAAGTACTCCGTACTACGTAAAGAGGGCATACTGCCCAATAAGATCAAAGCGGTGTGTGGCGCGTTCTGCAGCGGCCTGATGCCAGATAAGCAGGTATCAGTTTTTATGGGCTTGAGAATTCATCGATGTTTATCACTGATTCTTGTCGCCTCAATCAAATCATCCGCAATGACAAGCAATTGATTATAATTTCTCTCTTGATTGACCTGATTTCTTCCCGCTTCAACTCCTACTTATTGTCTTGGGCCCAGCGGTCCTGACCGCACTGTTTCATACCATGAGGCCCATCTCACTCCGTTTGCTTCTGTTCGCCGCTCTGTTTGTCCTGGCTGCGGCATGGACAAAAGAAGGTCAGTTGTCCTCTATGCGGTTCTAGCAGACTGTCTGCTGCTCTCTTGCTCCATGCTAACCTCGATGTCACCATAGACCACGAAATTTTCCAGCTTCGTGATGAAGTCCTCGCCAAAGAGGGCGCGAATGTCACATTCTACGGTACGTTTCTTCTGCCAATCCTCACCGGGGTCTATGATCTTAACACATATATAGACGTTCTGGGCGTGAAATCAAACGCCAACCAAGACGAATTGACCAAGGCCTACCGCCAGAAATCGAAGCTTCTCCACCCCGATAAAGTCAGACGATCCTTCATCGCCAATAGCTCAAAGGACAAGTCCCGGGCCCAGTCCAATAAAAAGGCTGGTGTCCATGTCAACAAGGGTCCTTCGAAACGTGAGATTGATGCGGCCGTCAAAGAGGCCCACGATCGCGCGGCCCGTCTGAACACCGTTGCCAATATTCTGCGTGGACCATCTCGCGAGCGTTACGATCATTTCTTGAAGAATGGATTCCCGAAGTGGAAAGGGACCGGGTACTATTATTCCCGATTTCGCCCGGGCTTGGGCTCGGTCTTGGTCGGGCTGTTTTTGGTCTTTGGGGGCGGTGCTCACTACGCTGCCCTCATATTGAGCTGGAAGCGCCAGAGGGAGTTCGTTGATCGGTACATTCGTCAAGCCCGCAGGGCTGCATGGGGCGACGAGTCGGGCGTCAGAGGTATCCCCGGACTGGATGGTGGTGGTGCCGCTCTAATGCCCGAACCAACGACATCTGTTCCGGAACCTGAATCCAGCGCCATGCCGATGAATCGTCGCCAGAAGCGCATGATGGACCGGGAAAACCGCAAAGAGGGCAAGAAAAATGCAGGTCGAGCCACTGGTCGTAGTTCTGGGACCGCAACGCCTACCACTGATGCTGTGGTGGAGCCAACCGGCGAGAGGAAACGGGTGATTGCGGAGAATGGGAAAGTTCTCATCGTGGATTCAGTCGGCCATGTGTTCCTCGAGGAAGAAACGGAAGGGGGAGACCGTGAAGAGTTCTTGCTCGACATCGATGAGATCCCACGCCCCACCATTCGTGATACAATGGTTTTCCGATTGCCCGGCTGGGTCTACCAGAAGACCGTCGGTCGAGTGCTGAGCTCATCCGACGCTGCTGGCAGCGGCCTAGATAGGCCTGATGATGCGACCGAATCGTCGCAGGAGTCCATCGATGATAGCATCAGTTCCACCACGACTTCAAAGAAGGGTACATCCAAAAGGAGAGCGAAGCGTACACAAAAGACTTGAATTACTGGCCCACGGCGGGAGGGTGAAGATTACTGGAGACTACCATTCTTGCTTGTATTCTTGTCTAGATCTTTGCAGAAGATGCGATCTCTTTGCTGATAGATCTGTACTTATCATCTGGCTCTTGGCGTTTCGCCATGAGTACGATGTTCTGAATATATCCAAAGACTTAGTACAACTATTCGCAGTGAGTGCTGCAAATATTTTTCGCCAGCCTTTCTCTGTGGTGTTGCGTCTAGTTCAACAGTGTCTAAAATCAACGTAAATTTCACCTTATATACTGCAGGTGTAAAGTACGAGGAAGATTATATAAGAGCGCTCGAACAAGTAGCGCAGCCGCAATAGCAAATAATCAAAACATGGCCATCATTTCCGTAGTCGTAGTCATCTTTAAAGTTTCAATTCCTCCACAACATCTGCAGAAGCGATTTCGAGTGGGGAAGTGTGCGCTTGGGTTCGTAAATAATCATCAGCGTCGAAGGAGATAGAAGCTCAAAATCGGAAAGGCTACAGGAACATTTTGGCAATGTTCATCAATCCGCCGATTTTGTCCGCGAGGCCGTTCCCGCCAGGTCGACCCGGCGTCGACCCTCCCCCCAAGAGGTTCCTAGGCAAACGAATTCCGATCATACCCAATAGCCTTTGCAGAACGCCAGTTGTCAGGAGAGGGATCACGAGCAATGTCAAGACCTTTATAGGGTGCTCCCGGGCATACTTCCACGCATCGCGAAAGATGCGCTGAATGATATGAATTATTCGTTGGATGAAACCGTCCCGGGGTCGTGCGCGTCGCGACGAGGATGAGGAGAACACCGAGGGGCTGGATCGTCCTGCGCGATTATTGATGCCACTGCCTAAGCTGAAGACTGATGGTGCCGAGTGGCGGGTATTATGGGATGAATAGGTAGAACGTCGGGAGGGAGACGAGCGTCGACGAGAGTGATGTCTGTGAGACGACGAAGAGGAGGGGGATCTCCCGTCAAACCAGCCCATTGTGTGTTTTATGAGCAGGTCTTTCGAGCAGCTGATGCTTCTGGGCCTTGACGGTTGCTGAGGAAGGGGTAGGTTTTGGTTATTGCTCTGCCGTCGCCGAAGACAATTGTAAGGATTGACCAAAAGACTGGAATCACAAGAGAGGTGTTCGCCTCTTAGCACTGTGTGTGTTTCTGAGACGGGGGGCGCATAAAGTAATCGTGGAGTCAATTCAGTACTACCTACGGAGTAAGCCATCTGCATATGCACACAATTCATGTCCAGCCTTCCCTGCCGCACTGGCTGGCTCCACTGTTCGGTCTGGGGGTCAGTATGTACCGGATGGGTCCCACCAGAATGCTACTTGTATTTGGATGAAGGATGGATGGAATCTACAAGTAGGTAACCAGTATGATGTTATGAACTCAATGTCATGTTCTACTCTATAATTGTCACTTGCTCAATGACAAATATAACCTGGTATGACTATCTAGTGAAAGGGATGTGCTCGGTAAAATAACACGCACGCACGCGCACGTACACGTACACGCATACAAACACACAACACAACATAACACAATACACACGCGCATTTGCATGCCAATGCCCATTGGTGGTGTTCCCATTGGTGACGTGCCAATAATCTGGAACCTTTGATTTCAGGGGCGTCTTCCCGTTCTGTGTTGCAGTACTACAGGTAACTACTGTACCTAAATGCTGAGGTCAGCGGATATTGCCTTGATGCCTTAGAGGAAGCTTCAGGCACCAATACTACTGTCGACGTCATGTTCTGTGTGTGAAGCGCTCTCGCGAGAATTGATTGCCTTTTGCCATTTCAATAGTTTCTGTCACCACCCCTTCTTTAAACTAACTGAGCGAATATCTAGCGCGATCTGACTTGGAAGGAAACTTATTCGCTATTTGGTATATTCGGGAAACATAGCTACAGGAAAGTATGGCGAGTGAGTGCATACCAACATACTTATACTGATCTGGCCAGAGATCATACTGACATGTTTACTAGGACAGAGGGATCTTTGTAAGCGGACAATATGAGAGGCAAGGTGCATTGCTACATAGGCTAATTCTATCATCTATCCAGACAAGGTTCTTGGAGTATCCCCTCAAGCAACCCAGCAAGAAATTCGCAATGCGTACAAACGGTGCGCCACGCCACTGAATGCATCTGGGCTAGCTATCAGCACTGACATGGCTATAGGGAATCATTGAAGTCACACCCTGACCGAGTACCTGCTGACTCCCCCGAGAGACCAGCGCGGACTCGTAGGTTCCAAGAAATCAACGATGCCTATTATACCTTATCCGATTCGTCACGTCGGCGCGAGTACGATGCGGCGCGATTGGCGGATGAAGTGGAAGAGGAATACAATATGCCCCAGGGAGGTGCCGGTGGCTTTCCATGGTCTGCTTTTGGCTTTGGCTCCGGTTCCGCTACTGATAGAGAGCAGCGGGCATCAGAACAGTTTGGGTCTGTGTTTGAGGAGATGCTACGGGAAGAAGGCCTTGCCAGCGATGACACCGACTCTGATGGTCGCACGCAAACCCGCCCAACCGCACGTTTCTGGTCCATTGTCGGTGGCATCAGTGGCGGTGCACTCGGATTCATCATTGGGAATGCACCCGGGGCGCTGGCTGGCGCAGTCGCCGGTAATCGCCTGGGAGCGGTACGGGATGCCAGAGGGAAAAGTGTCTATGAGGTTTTCCTGGAACTGCCTCAAACTGACCGTGCTCGGCTCTTGAGTGAATTAGCCGCCAAGGTATTTCAGACTACAATGGGCCATTGAGAGTAAGGATGTGTAGCGGTCTGGTTTTTTTGAATTCATCTCTTTGTACAGCCGTCTTGCTCTCCCTTGCGATTCTTTATTGCTCTTTGTGATTCGGCCCTGGCATTAAACATCATTAATGGTTGTTGGAGTTACGAAGTAGGCTTGCCCCTATTGAAAGCACTGTAGGTGGCTGTTTGACCCAGTGAAGCTCCATACTCTCTCTGCCCTGTATGTAGTCATTTACTTCAAGATAACAAGCTGCCTTCGAAAGCCTCAGATTGTGTTCTGATCCAAGACCTCCTTCCCTCGACTGATCATGTAGTTTCGTTAGTAAACAAGTGAGGAATACCTCAAAGATATCGTCCCTACGTTTATGTTCCTCGATGCAGACTCAATTTGGCGGGTAAGATATGCAGTTCCAAATTGTACTTGCTAGTAAGAGTTATCTTGAATGAAATTGTTGTGGATAAAGAAGTGCTGAAGGACTCGGGACTTATCAAGGTTATGGATATGCGATAAGCCATCGGGATCCAGTGGGTCCCAGGTCGCCGCTTGGAAGGTCTGACCGCCTTCGTGGCTTTCAGGCCTTATGTCTGATCGCAGCCTGGAGGCAGCCCCAAAACAGCTAAACTGTGTAACAGGTAGGTGGAGTTGTCTAGACTCTAGGTCGTGTAAGTAGACCCCGCGGGCGCCCGCTATCCCCCCCATCACCGCATGCGGCCGCGACAACGTCCTGAATCCCTGAAAAAAATAAACTATGGAAGTACTTACAAAAACGATCACTACCCCTCCGAGAGCTCTCAAATGACCACCTGCGGCTTCCATCATCCTCTTCGCAATTCCACCCCAAATCCCCAAGTTCCATTTGTGTTTAGCATCATGGCCGAAGGTGCAGGTCCATACCCGTCTTTAGGGAACCGTCCCCTGAAAGACACAATTTGCCTTTTCGACGTCGACAATACGTTGTCCCTCCCGAGAATGGTGAGTTGACCTCTAAGGTACTGACTGCTGTGAACATGGATCATGTTGCTGTCCTCAGGCGGTCGGGGATTGACAGTTCACTGCTCGTGACTAGGGTGCTACGCAGAAAATGCTAGAGCTCCTCTCCCAACTGCGCCACAAATGTGCTATTGGATATGTCAGTCCACGAACTGAAACGTTGACTTCAATGATCTAATAACACCCAGGTTGGTGGATCGGACTTTGCTAAGCAGCAAGAGCAACTCGGCTCGGCCACTACAAATGTCACATCTCTCTTTGACTTTTGCTTCCCAGAAAACGGCTTGACTGCGTTCCGCCTGGGACGGCCCCTCCCTGGTACCAGCTTCATTGAGTGGATCGGGGAGGAGAGATACCAGGAGCTGGTTAACTTCTGCCTCAGATACATTGCGGACCTAAAAATCCCTAAGAAACGGGGTACTTTCATTGAGTTTCGCAACGGAATGATTAACGTTAGTCCCATCGGCAGAAATGCTAGCTTCGATGAAAGAAATGAGTTTCAAGCGTATGTACCCCTATATTTCTTGCCATCAGATTGTGATCTGAGCTCGATTGGCTAACATCTCCCTCAGATTTGATGATGTGCATCAAATCCGTCGGAACTTGGTAGAAGCCCTCAAGAAGAAGTTCCCCGATTGGGGCCTTACGTAAGTCTTGGGAAATACACCGCAGTATACCTCACAGATTCATGCTGTTGATCACATCATGAACTAGCTACTCTATTGGCGGTCAGATCTCCTTCGATGTCTTTCCCACTGGCTGGGACAAGACCTACTGTTTAAAGCACGTCGCTGCTGAGAAACAGATCTCGGGCGTGGAGTATAGGACCATTCACTTTTTCGGAGACAAATGTTTCGAGGGCGGCAATGATTACGAGATCTACAGCGATCCTAGAACGATTGGTCACGCCGTTCTAAATCCCGATGACACCATGGGAAAACTGAAAGAGCTGTTCCAGCTATAGATGTTTCAGAGACGCTCCAAATACCAGGATCTAAGATTTGTCCTAGGCGGTGGGCGACGATATGGATGAAGGAAAGCACTGATGACCTCGTGGTTGTCGAGGCTATTACAGTAACTATCTTCAGGGCGTGGATTGCATTGTGAAGTAGAAATTGAGGCAAGTCATAGTAACCTTTTTGATCCCACAGTTTTGATGTCGGCACGCCTAAGCCTCCGGGTTACTCTAGGATAGTTGACCAATTCGATGCTGTAAGTAGCCGTAAAATTCTTTGACTCGAGGGATATCATGGCCATTGACTTCTTATGCCGTGGCCTTGTAATTTATATAGCTGTAGGCGGGAGAGTAATCACATGCGTGGATGGCCGGGCGGGCGGCCCCCGACGTCGGGGTTAGTCATCGCCAACCGGCACCTCATCGTCCATGAGCCCTTCAATTGATTCATGCCGATCATCTACCACGCGGTCTTGTGTGGTCATCGCATCTCTTAGAAATCCATACTTATGTTCAATATGACGCCTCAAAAATCAGTTGCGGAGGTGCCTCGTTCCATTCTTCCCCGTCTTACTCGGAATGGCTCTTCTGCTCGAGCGACCACTGCACCCCCAACCGCCGCTCTTCCAGCGACGCGCTTTCAGAGGCAGCAATCAGGCCGCTCCTGGAATCAAGCTGGATACCAGCTACACAGTCTACCTGGCCTCCCTCCCTCCGCTCTATTCAACACCGCCACACCCCGCGGGATTGGTCCTTCGTCAGCAACCGTAAGGCATTTCGCCTTGGTCCGCCACTCAACCACCCGTCCAGCTGTACAATCCTCCGGCAACCCGATCCGCTATGACGGGGTCTATGTCTCTGTCTTCAAGCCTGCTCGACGGGCCTTTCATGCCTCTGCTTCACGGCAACGGGATCACCATTTTGATACACTGAAATTTGTTCAGCGGTTAAAGGATGAAGGGTTTAGTGAGGAGCAGGCTGTCGCGATGATGAGGGTTTTAAACGATATCATCGAAGAGTCGATTCAAAACTTAACCCGCACAATGGTTCTGAGGGAGGGTGGGTCATGCTCGTCCATCTTGTCTTATTGCTCGGTTGCTTAATATCTTCTCGCTCCAGACACTGAACGATCGGCATACACTCAGAAAGTCGATTTCGCAAAGCTCCGCTCCGAACTACTCAATGCAGACTCGACTGAAGCGCAGCTGACGCGCTCATCGCATGAAAAGATTGCAGCGGACCTTGCCAAGCTCAACTCACGTCTACGTGACGAGATTGGACGCACACAGGCGTCTGTGCGCCTGGACTTGAACCTCGAGAAAGGGAGGATTCGAGAAGAAGCAAACGGACAGGAAATGCGGATAAAGGAGACAGAGACGCGGATTGAACAGGAAGTTGCTGGACTAAGAGAGCGCGTGGAGGCCGTCAAGTTTTCCACGCTACAATGGCTCATGTAAGTTGTTCACTAGTGTTCATCTGCAGAATATGGTATATTAACATGATTACATTAGGGGTGTCTGCACTGGTACCGCCGCGCTTATTCTCGGTGCCTGGCGTCTATTTATGTGAGTGCTGCAATGCACTTCTCATTGCTGCACCAACATGGTTCACGTCATATCCCTCGATCTTTGACTGTTTGTTGCCGATAAGCAGGGTGAGGTCCAACCCTAGTGCCGAACAAGGATCCACTATACAGCACGACTTTCATGTGTCAATTTGGGATGTTTCTAGCAAGCTTGCTCTCCACACGCATCCAAAGTACACAACATTATAATAAGATCACGGTTAGTCACCAGGTCTCATTCGCACAAATAACCCATATGAAAAGTTCAAGTCGTTCTTCGGAGTGCATAGGTCCTATTAGTGAATAGCACATACACGCACCTGCACGCTTATAGACAAGCACAAGTTATCAAATATTTTTCTCCTCTCTATTTCCCTGATCCACCATTCCTCTTTCCATCCCTCTTCCTCTGAATCCGTTTCCCGACCTTATATACTTGTCAAGGTACAGTATTTCTCTATGATCTCGAGTCTGTCCGTTGACCACGTCCTATCTCTCCAAGGCACGATTTCTCTATATAGTCTACACCTCATTTGATCTGATTCCGTGCCGGTAAGTTTTCGTTCTGTACAGTAGCATCATGGATTTTCTCCCCAAATCCAGGTAAATCCAAAGCCTTTACAAAGCTTATCCTCTCATGGGCCCTGACATAAATATGCAGCCTTGGCCAGCCCGTCCACCCACGCTGCGGAGCATTAAAGGAAGATTTTGCCCTTCCAGATTTGAGCCCAGAGCTGTTGGCCAGATTCAAACAAATGTGTCCATCCAACAGTTTCTCCGTGACCCAGAAGACAATTGTATCGCAGCTGAAGAACAATAAATTTCGAACTATCGTAGGAGAATGTCACACCGGCCGAACCACAGGTGCGCGGCTCGCAGCATGCTTTTGTGATGTGAAGAACTCTATCTGGTACCTTGCGGACACTATAAAAAACGCGAAGGAGGCGGCGAAATTGCAGATGCCGTGACTGAGGGTCCAGGTTTGAACGTCGTCTATGCTGGCTCAGAATAACCGCTCTTCGTCGACCTGGGCCCACATCGTCGGCGTCCCATTCGGCTCATCATATCCACCCTAGGCAAGCTGCTGAACGTCTTTTGCGAGAGTCAATCGAAGCTGCAGATGTCGAGGTTCTCATCATGTCTGGCGGTTATACCCCTCTTGGGAGTCCAGAGGCTGTGGTCTACATACGGCCGTCATCCTCGGGAATCGGAGTAGGACACATGAAATCTCATTGCCATCAGCCATGGAGTTGTTAAACTGCCTGTGGTGCGAAACGCGCTCAGGCCGACGAGGGTGTGGATTCCCGGTGTGCAGCGCCATGGCGAGGTATTGTTGAAGGCGAAGTCGCGGCAGACACGCGTTGCAGATGTACTTGGGTAATGCTGGAAAAGGTTCAAAAACATGGAGGTACACGTGAGTCCCAGCCACTGCCTTTTTATTTTTCAATGGCTATGCTAAGATCTCAGCGACTGTCATAAGTACCTATGTCCTGACCTACGTTGCTGAAAAGCTGTGCAAGGCACTGGGCGATGGGTTCGTGCTGACTAGTTCAAATTTGAACCATGAGGCTCGCACAAAGGCTATTACGAAGTTCAATGGTGGGTTGGCCTCACTTAGTAGTGGCCGTACCCCTCCATCTGAGTTGAATTTCCGGACAGGCTCACCTGGCACTTTTTGCGGAGTCCCCTGCTCGGTAGACCGACGTTATAGGCATGATACACAATTTTCAATGCTTCGGGGAAGTTGCTCGTCGTGTTCCACCCCGGGGAAGAGACCAAGGTTATGCGGGCCAAAACAACCAGTGACAATTTTGAAGCCGGCTATTCAGCGTACATAGTGGTTAACAATAGACCGGGCACTCAAGGAATTGTACCAACACGCTAGCTACAAGTGACCAGGCTACCGCTCAGCCATATAGGCACAGCCATTGCCCGGTTATTTGATGAGACGGACCGGGGTTTCAGGGGCCTTGGGCCTATAGATGAAGTTATGTTCGTAAGACATCTCTTGTCGGAGACAGTGGAAGCAGCTATTGCGTTCATGGAGAAATATCACGCCAAACAACTCTGGTGAGTGGCCCACCTTTGTACTGGCCTTCATGCACCAGCTCGTCGCCGAGACGAATACACATCGGTCGAAGAAGCAAAGGATGAAATCCAGAAGGAGGGATAGCTGTAACAGGCACGGTGATCTTCTTTTCTTTTCTTTTCTTCTGTTCTACTCCTGCTATATCTTCTTGGCATGACATAGCCCGAGGCTAATTATGGCACTGTTCTAATGGTATTGAAATCCGACTTTCCTCAAGACTCGATCGATGCTGGTGTTGCTGCTGTGCATAGAGGTAGCAGCTCCCTCTGGGCACAAAACGACCTCATTGCGAACTGTTTCAGATGCCATCCTTAGTTCAATTTGTCTAAATGACGTACTGATAGAAACCTCTGGAGTGAGCGTAGCGTCGTGAGGAGCCCACACCGCTCATTGTGGAGAAGACAGACAAGGTGCCATTCTGTCCGTAGACAAGTCATATATTTCTTGCCCCTCTCCGTGGGTCCTAGACCCTATGTCTACGGTCTACAGTCGCTGGGCAAGAGGCCGCTATGGAAGCCCTGACGTACAAGGGGTCGGACATGCTAATGGATTGTTTCTTAAGTAAATTGAAGATTGCCGGCAGGGTCTATAGCTCGTTCGACTCTTTTGAGTTCGCCGACTCGGTCTTGCTCGCTATGCTGAAAGTGGAACGCTGCACCCTGAGAGGCTGAAATAGAGTTTTCGATCCACATGTGCGTATCCCGTACTAAAAGTCAATATTTGAATCATGTGTAATTCCAGGCCAGTGTGCATTGCCAACCATTGTTACTTCAGGTAGGAGAGAAGTCCCTGTGACGGAATGTAATCTTAGCCCATCACCAGATGGAGTTCCGAGTATTCAAGAATGGTCCGTAATTGAACAAAAGGGGTAGATGAGTTCTTGGTGCCATCTGAAGTCAATGATCGTCATTTCCAGTTATCACTCATTAGTGCCAGGTTGAGCGGCGGGCGTACCATGGGCTGAGCGTTAGCCCCGGAGGTTGAGCAAGGTACTGTATTGCCGGAAGCCTTAGATAACAGTCCTCGCGGCGACTGTGTGTGAAAACGTCGGCGGGGACCCTGGGTGCAAGGGTAATTGAGCGATCATTGGCCGTTGCGTGATCAGACAGAATGAAGGTTAAACCTATCGAGCTTGCGAGCCGAAAGCTGGAAACGTTTGGAGTTGTACCAAAGACTACAACGTGCTCGGCACAACGGCTGTCTCCAACATCAACCATGAGCCTTTTCCTCTTCCAGATCCGATAAGCCCCCGCCTTTGTTCCTGAATCCCTGGTATCGGTGAGGACCTATCAGATTCAACTCATCGCGCCATCTCTGCTCACCTGACCGGTGCCTTGAAGAGTTCCACTGATCAACAACCTGGGCCTGGGGTTGCAAAATCTCTCCATCAACACCGACTGGCTGAGTTGGAGGCGATAGCCTGGATGGTAAGCCCTGTCCGCAGTCGGAACGGCGACGGAAATGGATCAGCGGCTAGAGGCACGAGGCAGACCATGCCTGCCGATTGCCTGAAGCTTCAGCGTATTCCGAATGCGGAAAAACGCCCGTTAGGTCAGTCTTCGGACGAAACTCTGAATAGGAGGCCGAATCCGGACGCTGATACAGTACCCTTGCACTATCGATTTGATGTCCACTTGCAGAATTCCAGATTAGTAAATGATCTGGGACACAATCGCTCCCTGCAAGGATTCTGGCACAAGGAGGAAGATCCTCCTTCCACATTAGTTTAGACCGATGTGGGGGAAGCCGTTGAGCTTGGAAAAAGATAGTGACTCTTGGAAGTACGGGCGTTGAGGAGGGGCAGATTTGAAATATTCATACATCAGATCGGAAGCTTAGCCATTTCAATGATAGTATGTCTGTTCACCTCGTCAGAGGCATGGACTTATCCCGAAAAGGAGATAGAAGGTAAGTACGGGGCTAGAGAAATATGATCCCCGCGAATATCTGCAAGGCAGATCTCCCATCGTAGGAGAGAGCATGACCTCCAGCTTCTTCAGGTCCAGTAAAGTCGAAGATGGCAGTGATGACAGTGCACATATGGGGCAATACTGGGCGCCTTGCAGACAGAGAATACACTCTCCAGGAGATCTCGTGGCGATAGATCCATCCTGCCTATTCTCAGCGTCAACTTGACCCGAGAACTCCTGGATGGCATGGAAGAGAATCTTGTAACTCTATCCTCCTTTGCCTTTCTCGAGAGATTTGCGATACGGTGATAGAGCGATCGGGATTACTTCGGTTGCCTGATGATTGACCTCGGTTGCACTTTCAATCAGACAGCCAGAAGAGACAGGTGCTATGGCCACTGCGGGGTCTTGATAACTGCAAGGGACTAGATTGACCCTATCAACATTCACATATTGATATATTGTGCTTATTGTGCTTATTGTGCTTTGTACTTCGCCCTGACAAGGCCAGCCAGGGTCATCGATTGCATCGTCAACTGCCCACGTGCGCGGACACAGCCGTGGGACATTCACAGCAGTCACTGAATGAAGGCTTTCTCAGCTTCTCCGCGGCCAAGTGTAATGCTGAAACGGTCCAAGCGAAGGGTCACGGAGAAGTTGCCACGAGCGATCAGCCAATCTCGTTGTAAACAGACTCCAAATTTTGCACGTTACAGCTCACAGCTTGTTATTCAGCATACTTGCTTGATAGTTGGCCAGAACGTGAAGAAACGATCGGATGGGTTCCGTGGGACTGGTCTCGGACTCTCGGGCTTCGGTTCGGATAGCACGGATAGTCAAAGACTGGTTCATCAGTTGTCGCCATTATTGAACAACATTGGTTCACTGAGAGGGATGGAGAGAGAGGAGGTGGTGGAAGGGATTGAAGGTAAAGGGTTGGGTAGGGGAGGGGGATCAAGTCTACCCAGCCTACCCACAAAATGAAGAAGTTTTTGACAGCTACATCTCTGGCTGGGGTAGGTCTCAGCAGGTTGCCTGGATCGCTCAGCTGCGTTCGTCTTCATGAATTTTCAACCTCTGCACCGACCCTATTATCTCGCAATATTACGGAGTACTAAAAACTACTAACTAACTTACCATTATGTAACCATCAGGCCACACAGTCAGCTTGTTGGACGGAGAATTGCTATTTCCGCCCTGAAGTTCCAGCTGAGTGGCAGCAGACCTGTCATAATTTCAACAAACACCATTCCTGGGATGCAGGCTGAATGCCCCTACCACATGCTGGGGAGTTGTCCTAGGTTGATGTGTGTGCAGTACTTTGTTAGTCGGCCTCCACTTTTGTTTGGCCGGCCTGCCACAGTGACAAAGGCGTGTACATCATCCGCGTGAGGAACAGAGCATACTTCTCCACCCACAGAGATTTTGGTTCCTACTCGTCGTTCCTAGTACAGAACCACTAGAATTGACTAGTTCGTGTTTATGTAGGGAAAAGTGAGAAAAGGTACAAGCGAAAGCAGTGTTGTTCGAATCACTCAATGTGAGACTAGAAAGCCTCGTTTCCGCCGCATGTGTTCTTCGGCTATCGGCGCCTTCGTACACAATTGTGACCGGAGAAAACAGAAGCCCCGGTGGAGTTGGCTGCAGGCGCGATGGGCAAATGTGATCAATCGCTTGTCGGGGTTAGATTAAAGGCTGACTTCAGAAGGTTTTGTCCAATCCCACTTGAAACCGCCTCGGTAGACCATACCATCCGGGGTTTGCAGCAAACAGAGAGGCTAGAGCATGACGTACCCGAGACTGGTGCGCAGGATCGATGGACGTCAAACCAGGGGGGGAATATATGCCAGATCTCAGACCGCTGCGGTAATAAACCGGCTAAAAAGAATTCAACAACAAGACTATGAACTTCACCGAAGCTCTTCAAGACATGGACTACCCTTTCCGACAATCTAACTTGGAAGAGTGCAAATGCAAAGATTGAAAGACGAACACTTTTGTCCATGCAAAGGCATGCTTGACAAACCGACGGTGTCTCCTTGGGCAGACTAGGCGAATCCTGAAGGACGGACTATCGAGCTTCCTCGACGAAGATCAGCGGGGGGTCCACCAGCTCAACACTGATTTGTTAGTTCCCACCACTTTTCCAGATCGACCAATAGATAGCGGTCATTAACTTGATTAAGGCTTCACCGATCAAAGGCGGCGTGATTATTGCCGTCACATATCGCATTCCAACCATATATTGAAGACTGCCAGAAATGGACAGAGACCTCTGACAAGGACCAATATGCTAGAGACTGACTGATGCACACATTCGCACATGATACTTGAATACAGTGCTTGATAGTCAGACCCGACTTTGGAGACCGCGTCGCCTCCCCTCGAACTCGGAGTCTCGGAGACTCGGCTTAGGGGGGGCTGCTTCGCCAGGCGTGGTTGGAGAAGGACAGTCTGGCTTTCGGGGCTGAAGGGCTCTAGTCCGGCACACTATTACCTTTTGGTCGCCTGGCAGCGCAATCGTCAATCAATAGTCTAATGTGAACCATAGTATCACCAGAGTGGATTGGAAGATTAGCCTTAGCATGGTCGATGATTCCCCCCGGGGCGTTTGCCCTTCCAGTGTTAGTAGAAGTCACTTGCCATCGTCCTTTCATCCGAGTCAATCCCACATTGGCCGAATATCGGCATAGACTCTTTTTCGAAGGTGATCGAACCACAACAGGGTTTCAACGGCCAGAGCCTGTTTGAACTATGGTTTCCAGGACAGACCAACATATCCCGATAGGAGCGCCATCGATTCTTTGGTCCCGCAAATCTCTGTGCTAAATAGATTAAATCAATTAGTCTAAAGGAATGACGATGATGAAAATAGTCACAGCAAGCTGCTCTAGTACGCATGTAAGTAGTCACGCTAGCCGTGTTCATCAACATGACATACATCATATCTGCATACATGACTTGATCCAAGCTGAGACCTACAGCAGGGATTTTTTTTTCCTTTGACCCCTCTCACCCAGACACCATATCAGGTTATCGAAAGGCCCCTCAACTAAGTGAAGGCCACTGCGGTGGGAGGACCTTGAAGTATAATGAGCTTATAAATCCTCTTGAGCTTGACCCAAAAGGGAAAGAACAGGGGGTTCAGGCTGTTTTCAGGTGACCAGATTGACTCGAAAGAGGTCTAGGGTTCTAGACTATCCCCTCACCTTCTTCGCTTCATGTTCGCTTGTTACCTAAGCTTCTGGGCGGTTATCTCATGATCAGAGCTGAGAGGTGTTTTGCCGGAGCAGGTAGGCAAATGGAGCAGTAGATCCTTTCCATCATCCATCATCTTACCATCCCCATAGATGTCACAGAGTAAAATAAGTCATATTACAGTGTCAAGCTCCGTACCCTTGTGTTTCAGCCTCCCACCAGGGATCGGAGACTAACCCGTCAAACTCGTGCTACACGACGGTAAACGTCCCATTGTCGCATCACCGTGCGTGGTATTTACAGTAAGCTCATGTCCTCTCATTTGTCGGCCCCACCAACCCCATCTTTCATCTGGTGTCCCCTCGGGACGCATCCAAGACTAGTGATGATCCCCGGCTTACAGCCGGTCTGGGAGACAGAAATGCCTCCTCCCAATTGCCAGCTATCTGCCTTGATCGGGCAGTTCGATATACGCGCCAAGGTCTCGCCCAGGTTTAGTTCTCCTGATCATGGATGCTGGGGGTGGAAGGATCGGGGATGATCTTCCCCTAGTCTGTCTTTAGGGCCACAAGGTCCAAGGTTCCGAGTCCGCTGAGCAGCCGTAGAGGGATCTCCTTCGATGGCAAACAGGGTGCAGACTAGTGCCGTGGTCTGAATGCCTTGTACAAGTATGTGCAGCGATCGTTTCATGGTTCCCTCACTCCGTGATAACTGGTGACCTGTTCTATTTTCTCAGCCCATATTTCTATTCTTATCTCATCGAGATAGATCTCGTGCCTGCAGTAATTCTCTTATAGTGCTTGTCAAGGATTAGTTTCACGATCATTTCGAATCCTTGTATCGGGTACCTCGAGTGGATATGGTATTCCATCGGAAATCGATGAGTCGATCAATTGCTCCAAGAAAAAAAAAACCATGAGGGCTGAAATAGACGGCAGGGAATTCCGTGGGTTTGACGTGGGCAATTGGTGCTAAGTGTACACTATAGACTGACAGTCACAGATCGCTGTATCTATCCATCCGTCCCACCAGTCGGGGGATGGCAGTGTATTGATGAAACACTACAGTGGCTATCAAGAAAGTAAAAGCATAGACAGAGATTAAGTGTGAGGGAGATGCGATCATAGGCATCGGCCTATTTATCGATTCATCAAGTGACTACTTCACGATCTGGGGACAAACCTTTGTGCAGGAGTACTATTATTGTAAGTACTTTTGCCCTTCTACCAGAGCAATCGAGCCGAATGATGTATAGCAAGCAGGAGGTCTCCAACGGCGGCAACTAGAGGTGATCATTGCCCGACGCACTTGCTAAATGTACTGTACTCTCTTCCCTCCCCTTCCTTCCAACTTTCACAAAATCCATATCGTTCTCAATCTCGGCTGTTACTCCTGCAGTCCGTTACCGGGGGCCAGCTAGAACCGGGGATCGACCCAGAAAGCTTACTTGCAGGGCCCAATGCTCCTAGGCATTGAGGGAGTGACAGAACCCGAGACGGTGGGCGTCCCATAACTCAAGTTCCATGACCACCACTGTCGTCTCTCCGATGCTTTTTGATGAGGGAGTTGGAAAAATAAGAAAAATAAAATCCGAAAAAGGGAAAAGAAAAAAAAAAGAAAAAAGAAAAAGAAAAAAGGATCAGAAAAGGGTAAGGAAGATTAGTAGTGGAAATAACACAATTTTTTTTGGAGGAGGAAAAAGTCCGGCCGAGACGGAGTGAAGTCCCCACCTGCTTTCACGTCCAATCAACGGCCGATATCTTGAGCCCGTTCCTTGGGCAGCGTCGATCTCCCATGCGTTCGTTCGTCCGGATGGGCACGAGCTTCCTCCGCGAGCTCCAATACCATTCCACTTCCTCCCCGGTCCCTTCGCCTTCTGTCGCCATTGCCTTTCCCTTTCACTTTGCTATTCTTCATCATGCGCGCTTTTGGTCAAATCTGTCCTGCCCCACTATCGCATCTTCCTCCGAGCCCTCTTCCTCCCCTCCCCCAAAATCCACACTTTACCATTCCCCACCGTTAACTTTTAGACTTTTAGTACCTTTTCTAACTTCAGAGTTCAGATACACCTGTGGCTCACGGTCTCTTCCATCTTAGGACCTTTGCTCCGTACCTTAAACCATGCTTTGGGACGGTTGTCTCCAACCACTAAGCCTATCTTGCACATCAATCATCTCCTACTCCCCCACCCATTCGCCCCCTCCCTCCCTACGAATACTGGACCTACTCTTGTACATATAACTATCTGACTACCTCCCTGGTAAAACCCGTTTTATTCCCGTAATCGCTCCTGGCAGTCGTTCTTTCTCCGTTGAACCGAGAGCTGACACTTTCTTTTCTCTAATCCCATCTCGTCGATCTCTCGTTGGCTGCCGCTGCTTGATCGAATTAAGTCGGCTTGCCCCAGGTATTTTCCGCTCCAAATACCAGATTTCAATTGCTTGGACCGTTCTTTGCTCTGTTCTAAGAGGGCCCTTCAATTTGCCAAGTCGAGCTCAGTATACTCGTCATCCTTTCAGCGCCTGCCTTCGCCAAAGCGAACGTTGTCTGAAGACAAGAAATGAAGAACTCGATTCCATCCGATGTGTGGGAGAGGAAGAAGGCTCTTATTGCCCAGCTGTACAAGGACGAGGAGTGGCCTTTGAAGCAGGTAATTAAGAAGATTCGTTCTGATGACTTCAATCCAAGGTAAGCTCTGGTCCCTGCGGTACCCGTATAAGAACATCAATCTTGACGTTCGGTTCTAGTGAAACCCAGTTGCGAAGCAGACTGAAGAAATGGCGGGTCACCAAGCCTTCTCGTCAGACACGCAAGAAGTCCAATGATAGCCAACAAGAGGGTTCTGGCGAAGACAGTAGCCGTGAGGACGGCTCTCCCAAGGATCAAGTCTCTCCCAAATCACGCTCGACCCTCCGTTCGGCTGCAACTAGTCTTTCCTTGCATGAGGCAGATTGGTTCATGAACGGGTCTTTTACGCCGCACGACAACCTACCGGTCACAGTCCCTTGGGCTCCTATACTGGCGCAACAATCACCATCAAGCGAATCTAACAAACAACGGGATGCGTCGCATGCTTCAATGATGTTCCCCTCGAGCTCTGCCACCAATACATCGTCTTTGCTAGATGATGTGATGGTTAATCCAACTGCAAGTATGGCTCCCGTCTTCCAGGACCATCCTTGTGGCTTCACTACCGAATCCTGCATGCAAACGCCCGTTTCGACGGCGGCGACGACTGGACCAATTCAATGGTCGATTCCCCAATGGTATTCGATGCCTCTCGAACCCGGCGCCCAATCTCCCCCGATGCCTTACTATACCGCAGCTCCCTTAAGTCCTCCTATCGATCCTGCCATGCATCTGATGTCTCCCCCAGGACCACAGCGGGTATTCGCACCACAAACACCACCCGCAGCCAATATATCAAGTCAGCAGCTCGCTGACTTGCATAACAACGACGGCGCGCAATTATGGAAACGTACCATGTCTGCCCCATATGTCCAGGATACCGCTGGCGGTCACTCGAGAGTGGAACAAAAGGGCATGCCGTCCACATCTCTAGACGGAAAGGCATCACTTTCTTCCAGGACCACGAGCCAACATAATATGGGGTTGATGACCCCACCACCCTCATTCTTCCCTCAGGGGCAGCACCCTGCGATGTGTGCACCTATCTATACCTATCCGGGACCTGAGCCTCTTGTCCATCGACCTCCGAGTATCGACTTCTGAGAAACACAGGTTGTCGCCTATTTTTTCTCATCATCCATGATTATCTTGCTAATGTGTTCTTTTCTTTGCGGCTCATGCATCGGAGTCGTACTTCGTGTGTCTTCGGGCCGCATTCATTTTCCTTCTGTCTTGCTGTCCGTTTTACTCACTTTTTTTTAACCATTTTGTACTGTCTTCTTTTTTCCTTTGTTTGTCTCCCTTGTCTATGTGGTACAGACGAAGAAATGGGCAGCTTGATCGGTTCTTATGTATACAAGGAAGTACGATACCTGGCGTATCGGCTGCTTGTACCGATGCATGGAGTAGGGTGTACCGGTTTTAATGATATCCACTACAGGCCAAAGGAGTTGGGAAGCGCATCTATAAGGGGATTTATTCTTCAATGTGTTTATGGGATGGATGATTATTGCATTAAATGGATCCATAGACTAAGTAGTCTACGGGTGTGCTTCAACCAGAGGCGGGCAGAGGCGGGCTGAGGGGGGGCGGGGGAAGCCCGGGCAGCAAGCAGATCTGCTGCAGCCTTTGACGGCCGGACCGACTACCCACCATTCGCCATTCTGAATGTTTTATTGCAAATGCATGTATGTAGTGTACACAATCTATTTCTTAATCTAGCGATATCAAGTTTAGAAAATTCATTTTTCATTTATACAATATGATCTTGTTTATTTGTAATTTGCGTTGATTCCATCAAAGCCAGATGGTCAGATCAAAGTAGTAAAAAGCATCAGATGCCACGAAAGGGCATGATTCAAGAAGGTGCTGCCGAACATGTCTGTGCGGGGACAATATTATCCGAAGTTGGACCTCGGCACTTCCAGCGCTGGATGGTGTGGGCTTTCCCTTCTCTGTCTGCCCCTTCTCCTCCCCGTCAACCCGTTTGTTGTCAGATAAGCCTAGCGATACGGAACTCACTGATCTGGTTGTTTGATATTGCATCCACTTTCTGTTTGCTATCTTGCCAGTCGCCCTCTGTTGTTCAAACAAGTTCAAACAACCCCAGCAGCATATACCAGTCAACCCTTGACTTCCACGATGCGGGCCATTCAAGTCTCCGAATATGTAATGGTAGATAGATCTGCCGTCAACCACGCGTCCGTTTAACTAATTGGAAACAATCAGGGACCCCTGGATCTCAAAGTTGTTACACTTCCCACTCCTTCGCCGTCCACGACGGACTACCTGATTGAGATTCACTCGGCGGGTACCAATTTCTTTGATTTGCTACAGATTCAAGGCAAATACCAACATCAGCCTCCGTTGCCTTGGATTGGGGGTGCAGAATTCGCGGGCACCGTTCTGGCCATGCCCACTTCTCCTAGAACGCCGCCGCGGTTTGCCGTTGGCGATCGAGTCTTTGGCGCGACGCAGGGTGCCTACGCCACTCATGTTCTTGCCCCTGAACAGACTTTGCTACCTGTCCCAGCTGGCTGGGGCTTCGAGGATGCCGCGGGTCTCTTCGTCACAGCTCCCACATCATACGGGGGTCTCGTCCATCGAGCGAACGTCCAGGCAGGCGAGTGGGTGCTGGTGCATGCGGCCGCAGGTGGTGTTGGTCTGGCCGCCGTGCAGATTGCCAAAGCCAAGGGGGCGACGGTGATTGCGACCGCAGGGACCGAGCGGAAGCGGCAGGTCGCGCGCCAATTCGGCGCGGACCATGTCATTGATTATCGGGATAAGAGCTGGCCAGACCAGGTCAAACAACTGTGCGCGCAATATCGCACGGGAAACGGCAAGGCGGGCGTCGATATCGTCTATGATCCTGTGGGACTGATCGAGGCAAGCCTCAAGTGTGTCGCGTGGAATGCGCGCTTGCTGGTTATTGGGTTTGCAGCGGGGAAGATCGAGAAAGTCGCTCTGAACCGAGTGCTTCTCAAGAATGTCAGTCTGCTTGGATTGCATTGGGGCCAATATGCCCGGTTCGAGAAGGAGACGGTCAAGTCTGTGTGGGCAGGCATCTTCGACCTCGTCGCACAAGGGAAGTTCAAGGGCACTGCCTTCAAAGATGAGAGTTTCGTGGGTTTGGAGAGTGTTCCCCGGGCCTTACAGGCGCTAGGTGGGAGAGAGACCTGGGGAAAGGTTGTGGTGAAAATCGTCGAGGCCGAAACAGGCAAAAGTAAGCTTTGAGCGCGGTGAACAATGAGCCCGTCCGATATCCAGTCACTTTGGACTTACAAACCAACTTACTATACAAGAGCGGAATTGGGCCGTGCATATTTAAACAAACTAGTGAATATCATGTGGTTCGTTATAACAGCTAACTGAAAACGATGCTTAAAGATTATGTAGGTGCGCAAGGAGTCATGCTCTCGTAGGAAGTGTAACACGCAAGCAACATGAACTATGAAGGCCCTTAAGTATTTATTGTAGCAACTGTTCAAGAATATCCAAGAGCTAGCAAGAGCCCCGCCAATCCAGCTCCAGTCGGCCACAGCCACAGGACGTGACATGCGATGACTGTTCTTCGAAAGAGTCCGTGAGAAATGCTCAATCGCTCTGCTCCTGCCCAGAGGCGAAGTATGGCAATCGACCCAGGACAGCTGGATTGGATAGTTGCGAATATAGCTGTGTCAAGCTTCTCCCTCCCTCCCTCGCTTTAGTACCAAAGGCTGCAATCATCACTGGATCGATTTGGGAAGCCTAGACTATCGTGTAGCTTCAAACCTTTCGACAATGAGCAGAGTCGTCATTTGAGCTGCTCATTGACGATTAGGATGAAGCGGGCTCTGCAAATGTAATTCAGTGTAGCGTGTGGCATGGCAGCGTCGGTAGTAAAATGGCGGGATGGTGTGATGACAAAAAAAAACTGCCAGCAGGGGTGATTTTTCGTCTGTTAGGGAATGGCTCGCTTAGCAGCTGAGTCAGCAGCCCATGCGCGAGGCCGGCCGACTCTCAACGGATAAGATAACGTACGACTTGTAACAACTCTTATGTTGAAAACATTCTGACATCAGAAATCATCAATTCCAATCTCAAACCAAGATTTCGACTGCAATCTCGGTTCCACCGACGTAAGAACCATGAAGTAACGGAATGCTCATGGTGATAGATAGAGATTTTCGGCAAAGTACTACTAAATCTCTTTTGGGCTGACCTGATCTGTTGTCGAATGCGGCTGTCCCAATGCTTTGTTTCTCGATACACCTTGGGAGTTGTCCTAATATGGTTCATGCATGGATGATCATTTCAATGATCACCGACAAGCATGCTTGGTCCAGGCCTACGGTAAAGTCTTTACTGATTGGGGATGGGGCCAGGCACTACTTGATCAAGTCCACATTGTGAACCTTCAACTCTACGGAGTGATCAGTGTGACAGACACACTACTACGTCATCGTCATCTCCGCCATCATAACCGTGATTGCGATCCCACCAAAACAAACCATCCTGGTACGGTACATCTGTAGTAGTCATGTACATACGTACACATTTCGGTAGCACTAGTGCTGAGCTAGCCGGTTTCCAAAGGCCAGATTTGGCATCTTGCATCATACGTAATAGTGCCGTCTATATTAAGCCTTCTTGATCACGGCACCACCCAGGGTCAATTGCCATAATAGTCCTAACCTTGAAGTTGATCCCGTCCCTACCCCTCCATGGCCAGGGGACCTCCATTCTTAACATCACAACGTCGCCATCTATCTTTCCAGAATACATCCAGGATGTCTGCATCAGACAAGCCCTCCAAGTTCAGCCACCTGCCCCGCGCTGCCGTGGGCCCCTTGATATGTCCTCACGAGGTATTGCTCACCCTTTAGTAACAGGACCTGCGCAATCGGATCCGGTAGATGAAAATACTGACCTCGGGACTTTGCTACTATGTAGGGACGAGGCCTCTTGGAATCCTGCCAATTCAACAAAGGATCCTCCTTCCCGAAAGAAGAACGTCAAGCATTCAGGCTTACAGGCTTACTACCCCCAAATGTTCAGACATTGGAGGAACAGGTCCAGCGAGCTTATGAGCAGTATAGCAGCCGGGAAAGTGATATCGCGAAAAACACATTTATGGCCAGTATGAAGCAACAGAATGAGGTCCTGTACTACAAGGTAGGATCATAAGCTCAATATCGTGCTAATACATATTACATTGACCCGCTTCAGCAACATCGTTGACTAATTTCAATCCAGCTGTTAGAGACTCATCTCAAGGAAATGCTCAGTATCATATACACGCCAACTGAAGGCGATGCGATACAGAACTATTCCCGCCTATTCAGGAAGCCAGAGGGGTGTTTTTTGAATATCAAAGAACAGGACAGGATCGAAGAATGCCTCGCCAACTTCGAGAGCGACGTTGAAACTGACTACATCGTCGTTAGTGACGGAGAAGAGGTAAGTATATAGGCCGCACAGACATTGACAAAAACGCACGACTAAGAATCCTTGTAGATTCTTGGCATCGGTGACCAAGGTGTAGGCGCCATTTTGATCTCAGTCGCCAAGTTGGCATTGACAACCATCTGTGCGGGAATCCACCCATCGCGACAGCTGCCTGTGGTCTTAGACTGCGGTACCGATGTATGTTGATTCTCAGACATTGCTGAATAGATCCTCACGTTTTCGACAGAATGAGACTTTGCTCAAAGATGACCTGTACCTGGGACTTAGACAACCGCGCGTGAGGGGCAAAGAGTATGACGACTTTGTGGAGAAGTTTGTGACAGTTGCAAAGCAGAAGTTTCCGAAGGCATATATCCATTTGTGAGTGATAACCGTCTTCATCCTAAGCTCGGCTGACACCCTCTTCAGCGAAGACTTTGGTCTCCATAATGCCAAGCGCATCCTTGACAAGTTCCGCTCTCAGATCCCATGTTTCAACGATGATATCCAGGGGACAGGGTGTGTGACATTGGCTGCTTTGATGGCTGCGTTGCATGTCAGCAAGGTCAAGATGGAAGATGTGCGTGTGGTTGTTTACGGGTCCGGATCTGCTGGCACCGGTATTGCCGCGCAGATCGCGGACACGATTGCTACCGAGGCGAGTAAGTCGAGGGAAGAAGCGTCAAAGCAAATATGGTACGTCTTTCCCAGCCCACGACGATGTGATTTGACGCATTGCGGTGCTGAGCCATGAGCGATATCCAGGTGTCTCGATAAGCCCGGGCTTCTTCTTAAATCACTGGGGGATCAATTGACGCCGGCCCAGGTGCCATTCGCAAGGGATGACGATGAATGGTCACCTGAGGAGCCCCGAGATTTGCTGGCCGTGGTGAAAAAGGTGCAACCACATGTGTTGATCGGTACTTCTACTAAACCCAAAGCCTTCACAGAAGAGATTATTCGCGAAATGGCCAGGCACATTGAGATACCAATCGTGTTCCCTCTCAGCAACCCAACACGCCTGCACGAAGCGTGTCCCGAGGATATAAACCGTTGGACGGATGGCAAGGCTTTAATGGCTACGGGTAGTCCGTTTCCGCCAGTTGAACGGAATGGAGGGAAGTACGAGATTGGTAAGGAGGCCGGCCAGTCTAAGTGGATAATCCCCCGCTAATGATTGTTATATCCGTGCTGTGCAGCTGAGTGCAACAACTCTACTTGTTTCCCTGGAATCGGACTTGGAGCGGTCCTCTCACGAACACGCGTCTTGTCAGACAAGATGCTTGTCGCAGCAGTAAAGGCGTTAGCTATGCGGTCCCCGGCGCTCCAGAATCCTAAGAAGCCACTGCTCCCAGACGTTCAGGACGTCCGAGAAATCAGCGTCGACATTGCGAAAGCTATCATCAAAACCGCAGTGGAGGAAGGACACGCAGAGGAGACAGGAATTCCTACGGATGACCAGGAATTAAATGAATGGATCCGGATTCAGATGTGGGAGCCGAAGTACAGGCCGTTGGTGCGACCACACCTGGAGTAAATGCACGCAGGGTAGAATTCTAATATCTCATTTCATCCATGGATTATCCCTTCTTTTTTTTCCTCCGAAGTTATGGTACACTAGACAAAGCTCCTTATGACCTCACCCGCAGTCATTGGGCGGATAAGCGGCTCTCTTTATCCGGAAGACTAAAAATTCTCTTCAATTCATTGATGTGAAGTCATCAACAAAGGAACACCAGGCTTTCTATGGAGCAGACGAGGCTCATACTGAGATAACAATAGTGGCAGTGGCTCATCACCTTTCTGTCACTGAATGAGTAATTAGACTTTCCTTGCCGAGGGCTGCCAAGTGAGACAGACAATCAGAGTCGGACAGTCGGACAGTCGGCCCAAAGGACAGTGGCCAAATGTAATGTCTTCGTCATAAGGTATATCTTTTCTCTGTTGCGTTCTCAACTTTCTCCAGCAGGTTCATCCTTACCATCTTCCACCTTCTCTATCTTCACCCAGAACTAGATCGCAGTTGCCATCATGAAATATTCTCTCTTGACCACACTGGTGGTCCTCCTACAGGTCTCGACCACCATGTCAACGAGACTTCCGCCCTCCGATACTGAGATCAAATTCTCGCCTCGTTATACTGTGGAGATCGCAAAGCGTCGCGGTGGTGGGGGAGGAGGTCGTGCAGGGGGCAGCAGTAGTAGTGGGGGAGGCAGTGGTGGCCGTACGGGTGGCAGCGGAGGGAGCAGCAGTGGCAGCAATTCAAGAACTGGGTGAGTGACGGATTGATTTGTTTGATTGAAAATTAGTTGCTTGTTGCGACATGGCGCGCACGTCTGGTTCTGGTAGTTATTGGTATTGGCTGACTTTTCTGGTCTCGACCGGACATAGCTCATCCGCCAACGTTGGGGGCTCGACTCGCAGTGGTTCAGGGACACGACCTGTCTATGGGGGAGGCAAATATTATGCTGGCGGCGCAACGACTCCTTATACCTCGGGTTCCAGGTCGCGAACGGGCCTAACACCCTACCTGTTACCTGCAACAGGTCTGGCCTTTTTCGGTTTCTGGGCTTACAACGTTTACGCCTACCCGTACCCTCATCATTACTATTATGTGAATCAGACCTCGCACCGCAATGAGTCTATGCCTGTGGTCTGCCTGTGCCAACAGTATTTGGAATGCGGGTGCGACGACAATTCAAATTCAACCTACTATGAGTCACTTTTCAATGGAAGCCAACCAACCAACACAAGCGTCACGCGAGTTGCCAACGTCAATGGCACCGATTCGATCTATATCAACGGCACTTTACCCAATGGGACCACTGTTGCCGACTCCTCTGCCTCATCAACGGCAGCAGCCGGACTGACAACCCAAGTACAGCAAGCCATCGGCCACTGGACTGTCGTTGCGTTGGTAGTGGGCCAGGTGTGGGCTTTGGGATGAAAGTTGAACAATCTAGATTTTACTTCAACTTTCTCTGCCTTTGCTCCTGCAGCTGTTTGAAATGTCCCTTCGATTTTGATTTTCCTTTCTTTCCCCTCTTTCCATTTAGGAGAGTCTTCGTCGAGCTTAGATTTCAGTGTTTACACAGTACCATCTTGACTACGGCAAGGTCTCAATCGAGCCTGGAAACTGGACCGACTCCCCACTACCGTCAGATTGATTAAGGCCAATCAATGCCCATCTTCACTTCGCCCTTGCCCTCAGGGCTTCTTCCCATTCTGGTTTCTCCAACCAACATTTTCTTTCCCGCAGCCGTCAACGTTTCAGATTGAGGGCCTCCCTACTTACTCCAGCCTGTGAAAGGCCTTCTTCGACCTTCTCGTGCCTGAACTGTAATAGTACCTACCAGTGCTCGCTACCCTTGCCGAAACAGCTTCACTCTATCGAATGATGCCCCAAGCCATGTAGTATGGAATCAATTAATTACCTTGGCCCGATACGATTGGCATCATGTAAGGTACGACCTAGGGTCGAATATTTGAGTAAAATGATAGTCAGTCCTTCAGACACCGCCATTGTTCTGCTGGGGTCTAGTGTCCTCGCAGCACCCAGCTGTTCCACAACGAAGCCCGCCCTACTTATCTACGGTACTTCCTGTCCTAAGAATTCATGCACTTGAGTCGAGTCTCACAATGTGACTGGGCAAATCTGGACCCAGACAGCCCAAAGCCAAGCCAATGAGTAGGTTACCGCAGCCAGCCTTCAGCCGTCAGCTGCCAGGTGTGCTTCTAGTCTACCCTTACTAGCGAGCGCGCCCCCCTTTTCCTCTTGTTCTGACACTTCCTGCTCTTTCCTTGTTTGTTCGTTCCTCCCTTCTTCAGCTTCTTTGATTTATACCTGTACAGCAGTGCTGTCGTTCCTTCGGTGCGTTTTGAATCAAATTCCTTTCGTTCACAAGAGCAGTCACTCCTTTGCTGCTCCATTCCTTCTTTAAGCCGCGTCTTGTTCCATTCGCTTGAATTGTTATACTAAACCAACCATCTGGACACTTTCGAGAGGTCCTCAACTCCTTCACCTTTGCTCGGCATTATCCTCTACGCTCTACACTATCGGCAAGACGTTTACTTAGAATCAGCTGGTCTCATTCCCGTTACTCAAATATTCCATAACCGAAACTCAAAAAAGAAATATGCAACTTGCGAACACTCTTCTGGTTGCCTGCGTGGCCTTCTCACCATTTGCTACCGCGGCGGTGCAGGCTATACCCAATACTGCTGCTGTCACAACCTCGAGCGCTGCCAATCTCGAAGTCTTCTCCTCCACCACGCCAACCCTGGCTCCCACGTCGGCTACTTCGTCCCCGCTCATTCCGAGCAGCAGCAGCGCCGACGTGGCTGCCATCACCAGCTCGGAAATTCACTTATCAAGTTCGTCGAATCTTCCCACCCACACGCCATCTTTCAGTCGACACATCTCCAGCTCCGCTATCGCCAGCTCCTTGCGGGCTAGTTCTTCTGGAGCTGCCAGCTCTTCCTTTTCCAGGTCCTACATTACCAAGGCCACAGCTCTTCCCACCACAGGCACCTCTACCAATAAGGAATCCGAGTCTCGGTCCTCTACCTCTGCCGATGCCGCTGAAGCGACCGAGACCAGTGCTGCGGTTCCAGCCTTCAAGCTTCCAGGTGGTTTTGCTGTTGGTATCTTCGCTGCCGTTGGTCTTGCCATGCTGTGAAACCCTTGGGCCTACAGCCTTTTCTAGGGATATCACATTCGGTTTACTGTGCCTGTCTAAAGTGATTTGAGTGCATACTAGACCCCTCTAGTTTTGCGTGCGGCGTATTGGCTATCAAGGCGAGAGCGTAGGGCTGTGTGGCCGTTCCGTCTATTAGTGGGCCTCTCACTGCACTGTGACAGAGCTCGGAAGATTGGATGAGAAGGAACAAGCGATCGGATATTTGTAGAATTAAGTTGGAACCCAGCATTAGGATCACGTTTGCTAAACTATGGCCAAGCGGAAACTTACCTTCGATGGAGTTATGCCTAGCTTCTGAACCCTGCCTTGCGATTCCATTGATAGAGTCAGAATCTCACCAAGTAGGTAATCAGGACGGGAAAGAGGCAGTTTTATATTGACATTCCGTACATGATACAAGCTATGGTATCTTGTTCCAGATTCCATGCTATCTATGCACGAACAAGTAGGAGATAGTTGTCATATTGTACATCTGCAGGTGCTGGGATAATCGGCGTTAGGCCACCGAGAACTTGTCTAATTGTTACGGAACGTTGCCTCGTATCTGTTTGTCAAGATCCAGTCAGCACAGAAAGACGGCAGGAACTGAACAGGTAGGTCTGCGAACTGGACTACGTACCTCTTTCCTCTGAATGCCCAGACACCCCAGTTGCCACATGAAACATCATGAGGGTCCAGGTCATTGAGATCCCAGCGTAGGCTGCGGAAGATATTTTCCCCTGGTTCAAGTAGGATGTCAAATTCACCGGCACATTTTTCATTCACCCAATTGATATCTCGTTCCATATCCCACTGCGTGTAGCCCGTACTGATGATGGGCACCTTAGTCTCTAGTAGCTGCGGGAGCGTTTCTTCCCACTCATGGGAGCTCGCCGGGTGACCAAGACCGGGGTGGAACAACATGATGCAGTCCAGGTATGGATCGAAAGGTTGAAAATAATTGGCTTTGTACATTGTGTGGAAGTAGTCGACGTAAGTTGTGATTTTAAATTGACCGCCAAGTCGATCCTCAACGACCCCACCAAATGGGTTTCCAGGAGTTCGCTCTGGCAGCGGAAATTCCGCGTCTCGATTTGTCATGCTTTCTGGTCCGATAAAAATCAGATGGATCAGAGAGCGCGGAAAAATATAGCTGAGCTGCAACCAAACGTCTCGTGGCAAAGAAGACTCAGCCCGTGCACCAAGAATGAAAATGCGGACTGGTGGTGCTTTGAGACGTAGTCCCCGAATATCCACTCCCTCTCCGGTCTTGGGAGGATGTAAGGTGTATCGCAGCGCTGCAATGCCCAGTTAGCTTGCCGATAATAAGGGGATGAGGTGTGAGGCGGGGAAGTGAAGAGAACAATGGTCGTGGGGACTTACCACTAACGCTTTTGAGCCCTTCCACCGTAAGCCTGCCCCCTTTACGTACATTGTAAGGACTCAGCTCATGCAGGACACTCGCAAGTGTAAGTGGATAGGTAAGCATCCGAGTCACTTGGCGCATGCTCCGGTCATCGTTGATCGCCTCAAACTCTCGAGTATAAAGGAAGGTGTCCCAGTTCGTCATGTTTATAACGAAATTGTCATCTTGAAGACCTGGGTAGGTAAACTCGGGAAAAAAGCGTCCAGAATGCAGATCATGGTCATCCTCGTTGATCTGCTGAATAGTCTCACAGACCTCCAAGTGTGCTTCAAAATCGTCCATCCAGTGCCCCTCCGAGCAATAAATCGGCACCCCACAGTCTGGACATTCAAAGTGAGAGTGCGCGGGCGGCAGACATGAGGTCTGCTGGGTTTTGCGCGTCTCTGAGTCGTGAGGTGAGACAGGCAGCCGAGTCTGTTGGTGGCTTGGATGTGGACAGAAGGCATTCTGCTTAATAGAAGCAGCACGCTGTCTGATGGCCGCTACTGGCGATTTTGAGAACGAATGGAAGAGGTTGTTCGGTTTCAATAAGACGCGAGGATCCGGAGAGGTATTTGACGTGGAGGACAGCGCCTTGTGCACAACCGGTCCAAGTCTCCGCGTCCCAATAGACGGTGTCAAGATTGCTCGTTTGGACGGAGCTTGGGGCAGGTCATGCGGACGAAGAGAGCCATTGCTGGGACCGCTCAGGCTTCGCACAGAGGCAGGATTGAGCAGGCTATATCCTCTTCGAGGCAAGACATACTGTGGCAAGCGCACCGCAGCCCGTCGACGGAGTACCTGCAGGCAGCGACCACAGGTGTACTCGCCAGTCATTTCAGGTTGGTGCGGAGCTCTTGAAGATAATACGTGGGGGCTGTTGGGTGTCAAGTTTGCGGGAGTGACCAGGGAAGACGTAGCATGGCGCGGAGCTTGCTGGGTTGCCAAGCGGTTATCACGTGACTTACATGGTTTATCCCATTGGAGCTTGTTGTATGGTTCAGTTAGTCTGTCGTCAATTAAGTCAAGCATTCATTCTCTGACCACGGTAAATGTAAGGAACACCGAGCACTGTACATACACATTACTTTTCTCCCTAAAAAATATCTTCGCATACACTCCAATCGCGGGTTTCACGGCACTTCCAATAATTACCATTGTGTGCCCAGTACTCCTCCCCAGTGATCGGACATTGGGCCCGTGTGAACCATTTGGGCTGATATTCATCGCCATTGGTCTCGCGCTCTCGGCGCTTGGCTCGTTGCTTTTCTTCCACCCGGTGCTTCTCACTAGCCGCCAAATCATACTCACCTTCTTCCATCGCACGCTGGTCAGGTCTAAGCCGTGTATCTGTGGGAGGAAGGTACTCCCTCAAACGTTCCGGCAGAGCGTTGAGAGTGATAACGAACGGTGTCAGGTTGAAGGGAATCCCGCTTGGGCGAGCATGACACTGCCAGACCAATAGCGTCTTAGCTGACTCTGGATCCTGACCAGAGACCGTTGCTTCAAACCCGGGGGTATGGCGTGCATAGATCTTGTCATTCCACCGGCCCCCAAGGCTCCATTTTGGGGTTCCATCCCGGTCTACCACTTTTCCGGACACCTGGTAGGCCGATGACGCCTTCCATCCCCTGGGTTTGAAATCTAGGTAGCAAACCTCACCAGTTGTCCAATTCTTGATCTCCATTAATCCGTAATTGTCAACAGTTGGGTTTCCAGTAATGATACCAATCACAGACGATGTGACCTTCTTCCAGGTATACAACTCCTCCTCTCCGGAAGTCGGGCGTAATCGAAGGAACCATGTTCCTAAGAGATTGATGTCGAAAGATTTCCCATAAAATTTTGATTTGAGAGCAGACTCGCCCTATGTAGAAGCCTAGTCAGTAAAGTGAAGGCACAAGCGCGACGTTGAAGAATTCTGAGAACGAGAACCCACATAATAATCCCACTTAGTCGACTCGGCCCAGGCGGCACCAATCGGCGGATGGTGGCTAACCTGCTCGACAAAGAACCGATAGCCCTTGTCCGGCCGGACATATTCAAATGTCTCGCCCAAGAGGGGGTTGAAAGGCTTCGCCACACGGCCGATGGTCGAAGCATATTCGCTTGCAGCATACGCAGCAACATATAGGAGTCGCTCCATGGAGTCGGGCCGGTCAGCGGCAATGTCTAAAAGGTCCGCATATTCTAAATCTTCAGCGACGCGTTGAAGCAATGAGGTAGGCTCATTGAAAGAGACTGGAAGGGTCATCTTTGTCATGTCCTTGCCGATCATAGACTTTAAAATACCCTATTATTATTGTAAATGCCCGTGATTATCCAAACTCCGCTTGCAGTCAGTCCTAGGGCAGTTACTTACCCAAAGTGAGATCTTAGGCCTATTATCATAGTCCATCCTCAGTCGTTCTCTGACAGACCCTTCGTATCCCTTGAATGAGGGTAGAATTTCCGTCCGCTTGATGGTTCGGAGCTTGTTACCCACTTCTGGATACTCCTCCCCTTCACCATCTGCTTGTACAGAGGTCAGATCCTCTACCTCAATCTCCCCGGAGTCAATCGCATCAAAAAACTCATCCTCCTCATCGGACGCTGAGTCACAGAGGTTACTGATTTGGGATAAAGCTGACTTTTTACGGTTGAGGGGTCGCCCTAGATCCTTTTGATCAAGACGTGAGAACCCGTCAACCACATCGGGTGAGTCGGCCTCGATAATTGCGTCGTCAAATTCATCTCTTGTGATTTGCGCACGAGACTGGACCATGCCAACGCCATGGCCGGTAGTTGTGGACTCTAAAGCTTCTTTGAGAGCTCTTTTAGTGCGTCTGCGTTTCTCCTCGGACTCACCCATCCGCGACTGCAGCTCTTCATGTTCCTGTGCGATCCTCGCCATGCTTTCTTCCCACATCTTCCGTAAATACGCCTCTCGGCTGAGTCTATACTGCCAATAAGCATCGCGATCCCGCGAGATCTTCAGAAGATTTTGCACCAAGCCCTGTAAGCTACCCACGGCCGCTCCATAAGCTACCAGGGCCTGCTCGATGGCGGGATCCGATAGAGGGGTACTCGGGTTCCTCGACTTTTCTGCCTGTAGTGAGGCCGCAACGGTGGCAAGGATTTCTAGCTGGAGCTTGGTTGACTGTGCGGTGATGTTCAATGCATCTTTATCAGTCGCTGGCATATCGCGGCTGGACGCATAGTCTCCATCATCATCATCTCCATCAATGTCGGGCGCCGTTGTTATATGACTGGTGATACGGTGCACCTCATTCTGTGGGGCAGTATGATCGAATGAGCTGTACAACGATCCCTCCTCGTCTTCAGGAGCACTCTCTAGCGTTGTACGGGACGCATAGGTGCTAAGTCGGGTACCACTACTGCTCGGAATTGCAGTGGATGGCGGAGCCAGGTTCTTTCCGCTCGATTTAACGGTAGGATGACCCGGTGAGTCTGAGATGCTGTCAGGCGATCGGCCTTCAGTCTGGCCAATTTTCGCTTGACGTAGCACTTCAGCATTCCTTGTCTGGCGCTTCTCTTCTGCTCTTGCTTCATCCTTGGCCCATTGAATGGCGTTATTGAGCGTCCAGAACCAGCGTTTAGCCTCAACGACATGGTTCGCCTTGAGGTGGTATTTAACTGATGACTTGCCATGGATTTCGAAACGCGTCTTATCCTGTGAATCCATGTTAAGCCTAGCGATCTTCATGTTGATCGCGCCTCGGCAAGCTGAACCCGCGTCATCTACCAGTGCCGACCAAAAGACATCAAGTCAGCGAGTGCGGTATAATTGCCACTGGTGCGACTCAGCAATGCTTACCTTGATGTTTATAGTAACTCAAAACCCCGTCCTCCAATACAAACCACCGTAGCTTATAGCCACTAGTGTAATTTGTCCATTTTTTTAGATAACCTCTCATCTCACGAGCTTCTTTGCCAGCGAGAGGTGCTTCGGCTGCACCCGCCCGGCCAGACATACCTGGGGCCGTTGCGCTAGTGCCTAGGATGGCCTTTTCCTGTATACCTCGTTGGGCTATAACAGCCGCCGGAGACTTTTTGACGATCGCCCGAGTCTTATCATCCTTGGTGACATCTTGTGGGAGTTTTCCCTTCTTGTCTCGACGAAATGGGTCGGCACCATGCATCAGAAGGATTTGTATCAGCTTCGTATCTTTTTTCCTTGCTCCCTCGTGTAGCAACGTTCCCCCAGAGTGGACGGTAGCAGGATCTGTGACTAGATCCAGGCTATTGACGTCCATGGCACCCTCAACCCGAGGCTCTTCCAATACCTTCTCTAGTTTCGCATATTCACCTTGAGAGACTAGTGCCTGGATCTCTTGTGTTTTACCATCAATAAACAGTGATCGCGCTAGCTGAAGCTGCTGGAATATCTCTGGGGTTCGTGCAACGTCAAGGGCGGTTTGACCGCCGTAGTTGACGATTGAATCGTTCAGCGAAGGCCAATTCAGTAGCTCACGAACCACAGGGGCTCTTCCCAACTGAGCGGCAAGGTGGAGTGGAGTGTTACCATCTCGATCCTGTGCATTCACATCCAGGTTTTCGCCCGTGGACAAGACATACTCCACGACTTGTGGCTCCGCGCACTGGATGGCTAGGTGTAAAATCGTCGTACCCGAAAGACTAGTCGCCCCATGAGGCTCCTTGGTCTCTTTTATCGCTTTAGAGATTGCGGTAGTGTCGCCACTCCGCAGGATTTCAAAAAGGCGGAAAGTACGCACCGACTGTTCCAGGGACATGCTGCTGCTTTCTGCGTGAGACAGGAAGGGAAGTTTCTCGATATTGTCACCGTCTCGAAGGGAGCTTATTGATTCTCGCGGAGGTTCAGCAGCCATTGGTGACAGCAGGTTCGTCTCCTGCCGTGATTTACGGTGGCTAGAGCTTCGCGTGGCTGATATACTTGGGAAGGAGGACGGGCTGGTGCCGACCGGAGAGGAGGGGGTAGAGTCAGGTGGATGATCGTTTTCGCGAGCGGCACTACCCTCACGACCTTCTCGCGACTTATCTCGGTGCAGAATCGCCAGCGCCAGAGAACTGCGGGAACGTTTGTGCCTAAAGGATCTCGATGGCATTCAAAGTTAGTACGTAGGGGGCCCAATCTGCGGGGTCCTTCTGAGTGAATTCCGAGCCCCTGGCTACGTGGACGAGACAAGCCAGCCATGCAGTGTCGGGTACATGGAAATCGACCGTGAGCCTTAGAGGGAGGGACACAACTCAAGAATCACTCACCCTTCACCACTATCCGTCATCTCTCTCGTCTGCTCGCCACGCAAACGATCAGTTTCCAAGCTGGACTTCCCGATCACAGAAAACAAGGCACCAATGAAGTGAAGATTGGGATTATCGGCTTGTGAAATGAGGGAAGGGCAAAGGGCGAAGGTGATGAAGGAAAAGGAGGTTAGAGGTTGGAAGTTGTTAAAATGAGAAGCGGGGTCTGGGGAAAGGCGGCCGGTGTTGTTGGGGGGAACTTCCGACAGTTGAGTGTATACAAAAGGAGAATCCACGGTTACTGGCCCGGGGAGGCGTGGCGCCTATCGTACATGGGGTACAGTGCATACATAAACCAAGACTCTTGACTGTTATAACTATTATATGTACAGCCGGAGCTTCATCTAGTCTCCCCGCTCACCATCATGATAACGCTACCCAGTTGTCGCCGAAGGTCTTCCTTATCAACATCATGTGTATCTTCCACCTCGCCCCACATATCCGTCTGCCACTTGACTTCCAAACTGGACGCTTCTGCTGCCTCTTCAATTCCAAACCTTTTCTGTCTGGGCTGTTGTAAGCGACGGAAATTCTCGCTCCACTCAGCAACCAATCGGACAGCTATCAGAAGACTCTTGGCTGCGAGTATGCCTCTCTCAAGCGCAGCTAGATCAAACGCATGCAAATTAATGACCCATTGTCGAATAATGTCCTTAGTGGCCTGTGGCTGGGATAATGGCAAGATGCTGTTAGCATCTAAGATGGGTTGAAGATCGACTCCGGGCCAAACCCTGGTACTCAAAAAGGCAATGGTATCATTGGCGACCCTCATCTGAGCCTCTCGAAGAGTTTCAATTTTGCTACCATTCTCATCGACTTCTCCAGGAGAGTCAACGGGCTCGGGCACCCAACATAGCAGAGTGTCGGTGTCTAAGTAACGCATCGCAGTTTTCACAATTTGATCCCTTGCGGAGGAAGTGCCCGCCTCATCCTCTCGAGCAATGTCCGCTGCCCGCGCCGTCAGAGAAGTCAACGGGATGAAATGATTTTTCAGGGCTTGCTGCGCGGTAGTCATCACATCCCACTCCAAAGCAATAGCATGCGCCAGATAGGGTTTCGTCGACGGTATGGCCAAGACATCTTTGGCTGGCGTTCTTATGGGCCGGGTGTCCAGCAAGATTTCGTAATCGCCTTCTATTCATATTCCAAAGCACAAAGAGAAAACAAGTCAATCCGAGCTCCAATATATAACGGCCGCAGCAGATTATGAAGATTTACCTGACTTTTTCCTAACACTGACGTCCTTCCAAAAGCGCTTCTTGAGTCCTGTAGGGGATTTTGCTGGTCGCGCAGTTGTCTCGCTTTCAGTTACACCCTCCGATCGCAACTCAACGCGTGTACGAAAGGAAGGCGCAGGTGATGGAGCCTCGGGGGGAGGGCCGTGGGTAGTAATTGGGTGGGCTACAGCGGCCATCATGGAGGAAGTTTTAAGGAAACGCGCAATAGCTGCACTATGCCGAGCAGCGAAGGTCGAAACTGCCGGGCGAGGCAATGTCGCATAGAGACGAGATAATTGCGGCATCGCCAAACAAGACCAGTGTGTTGGTCCTCGTTGTAGTGGAGTAACAAGGGAGAAAGAAGAAGGGCGCATGAGCTGCTTTTGAGGTGAGTGTCAGGCAGGTCAGAATTCCCACCCTTAGCGTGGAGCGGAGATGGAGTTTGGTCGGAACGCCACGGCCGCCACAGAAGATGAAGTAAAGCTTTATTTGCCCTATTCTGTCATCAGTTGGTAAATGCCCCATCCGGGTCCGTCCTCTCAACTTCAATTATATACGAGTATGTATTAACTCATTCAATCAAATCAATTCCCTTGCAGGCAGTGAGGCATTGTATCACTATAGTGATAAACGTACTTATTTGCCAGCTCACAAAAGCCTAGTTACCCGGGGCAATATTGCCCCACTAGCCCAGTGTATAATGAGCGACAACAATGGACGTTCCTTATTGCAGAATTACTGGAGATGACTATGAATTGTAACCCTAGTAGGAAATCTGCTCTATGATAATACATCATCTCTGGCCAGGGATAGAGCTACATAAACATATTATTAGCTATTAATGTTAAAACTGCTGCATGATGTCCATTACGCGTAGACAAAAATGCAGAACGGGCAAAGAGCAAAGATCCTGGCTCGTTGTTAGCTGCTGAGGATGGTTGGCGGGATTGTTGCACAGACAAAAGCCCGAGTCAGGTCTTGAAAACGAGATGCAAAAAGCGAGGGCTATATCCAAGCAGAACGAACTCACACTCTTGTAATATACATCAAGGGTATATGACTGCCTTTGAGTCAGGGCGAGGAGACTATCGAGCTCGGCTAGATCCGAGCAAAACTCAGTAAGAATGCTGAGATTCGAGACCTCACGGGCGCCAGACTATAGTTAATAGCGTGTCTTCATCCAGACTAAATAGACCATCGGGGTCGAGCGGGAGTAGGGAACATGAATGAACAACAGTAGGATACATTGGCTGGAGAAAATAATCCCAATTTGCTGGAAACTTGGTTGGCGTGATGTAAAATGAAATCTCTCGAGTCCGGTGTCATAATAGCGTCTCATCGTTAACACGAGTCGGAGCATCCGGTGGATATTGATGGAAGTGGTGTCTAGATTATTGCTGGTTCTCCCGACCAGAGTAGAAATTATGGACATATCATATTGGTAATAAGACCGAACCAGCGACAACCTCGCAAACGAGGAAAGCGTAGCAGGGAAATTGAATAGTCTGGCACTATCCTTATGCATGTGGGCACTAGCCGGTATTATTGCGTGATAAATTTCGGGTAATATGGTCGTTTCATGCGATCGACATCCGTTCGTTTCTTCATACGCTCAGCGTCGTAGTCATCGGCACCATCTCTACTACCCCAAGCAGTCTGTACAAGAAACCATGGATCAGCTAACAAATCTTGAGAATGATAGAAAGCAAGGAGGATTGGCGCAAGTCATGCGGCAGGAGAAAAGTGAACTAAAGGGGCGAGTATGAACGGAGGGCCGGGCTTATTTGCTCCAAGGATTGAATGGTAGAGGCGAAAAGTTCGAGCGGCAAGAACAGCTCGTAATTCCCTAGACAGGGAAGTCCGTCCAGGATGGATGAACACGAATACAGAAATTTATGCGTAAGATGAGAGGGGGAACATGCAAGGCGGGAGAGACTGGGCGAATGCAAAGCGAGCCATCTCCGCTTCCATAGAAGTCAAAGACTCGAGGAGCAAGTGACTGGGAAATGAAACTTACCACATTGAGAGTAAGCACAGCATATATTTTGATCCCGCCGTGGAAATAACCAAAGAGTATTGAAACTGGCAAAAGAACAAAATCCACGGGGTGGCGGATGTAGTGCCCCAAAAGCTTGATGAATTTGCTGATAAGCATCCAAGCCCCGAGTATTTGCATAGCCAACATATGAGCATCGTCTTCCCAATTTACAGTGGCTTTGTGGCATAACAAGAGAAGCAGCAAGTCACCCAATAGTGCTGGGGGCGAAAGTGTCGTCAGATGAACAGCGTATGCACTCCAAGGTTGGCGGCTACAAAAGAATCAGCATGCACAACTCAAGAATGAGGCCAACACCATTTGGATAATTTCATCTGTGTGAAGGTGCCACTCAGGGTGCTTTACTTCGCTTTGTCCCGTACCGGGACAGAGAGATATACACACCCCAGGAACGACTTGTTGAGAATCAGGAAACAAGGAGAGCCAGATGGTGAATTGACTCGAGTATGTATCGACAAGGGAAACTTACTACCAAACGTGTTTCTCATGAAACATGCTTGTAAGGTTGCTCCGCCAATTGCTTCGAGACCAGCGTGCGCATTGTTTCAGGAACTTCGGGTTGTTTTCCAGTGTGGTCAAGACTTCTGCTTCAGGATGGTATTGCATATATGTCTCCCAGCCATGAGAGACCATCCAGCGAGTAATGAAGTTATCGTCATCGGCATTCAATTGATATTTGCCAAACCACCATTCCTCGTTTGTAAAAGCATATGTGAACCCTTCATCTTGAAGGATCCTAGTTTTATAAGCGACTGTGCGCCCGGACATGCAAGGTAATCCTCCGTCAATGTGCGTGGTGGCCGCGCAGTCAAAGTTTCGTCGCTCAAGATATAGGGCTCCAAGATATCCCCAGATTCGCTGGGACATGGTAGGCGCAACAGCACGTCGCAGCCGTTGGCAAGTGACCACGCCGCCGAATCGTTCATCCTTCTCGAAGGGTGCCAAGATCCAAGGAAGCACCGTGCGTGGCCAGCTCACGTCGTCATCTGCAAAGACTGTAATTGCCGTCTGTACCTCTGGGATCGCCCGCGTCATCTGGCGGCGTTTGTTGGGGTGCGTCACTGTGAACAGGCGGATCTTGGACTTTGAAGCGGGCATCAAGCTCAGCATTTGTTCTGCCTTCTTCCTATTCGCCTCAATGGTCACCAGCAGGAGTTCAAACGGATGATTCTCGAGTATCGTCCTTATTGTCTCCACGAGTTCGTCACCGCAGCCCTCTAATGTCGGAAGTATTACCGTCACATCCTGGGCAGTGAGTTTCGGGTTTTCGGGAAGAGGAATGGGCTTGAAAGTCCAGAAAGAAACCAGGTTCACCACTAGACGGAAATAGCGGTAGAGACTGCATAACAGCGCCTTTATTAGCACATGCATTTGGCTTGCCCTATGATCGGTACAATGTGGGGAGCAGGGACAAGGGGGGGGGAGGGGTCCAAGAAATAGCATGATGCATGCATGTCACTTACAAAAGAGCGATAAATGCTCGCATAAATGGAAATTCCATAACGATTGCAATGTGGTTATCGATCGCAGATGATGCGCTATGCCTTCTAATGATCCTCAAAGGGCTTGGTTCGAGTATTCCCTCGAAATGCAATAGATTCGCGCAGACTTCACGGTCCGCGCAGGCTGTAAAATATCACCGAGGAGAGGAATGTCGGTGACCAGGATGGTGATGAACACTTACTCCCCAAAAGATAACAGACGAACTAAGGATCAAGGAGGAAAAAGAGAATGCAATGGTTAAAAGCCTCCTGTGGGAACAGCAACAAAAAGTGTCCACATATGGCGAAGGGGGGGGGGGAAAGGTGGTGAAAGGAGGCGGGATGCCAGAGTGATGATGGAAGCCAACCCAAGCAGAGTAACGAATGTCTGATATAGAAAGAATTTCACCCTTTCTAGAGCGCTCTGCGGAGAGAAAGAAGTTGGGGCAAAACTGCCAGTTCAATTGGCTTCCCACGGAGAGTGAAAGTCAACTACTTATGGGGAGGGAAGCAGTATTCAAGACTTTTTATTGTTGCAGATGGAGACTCCTGCGCGGAATGGCAAAGAAGGCACATGGTCAAGGCCGGCATCCAGACAATAGATTGAACCAATCCGCAATGAGAAATATAAATAAGTCACTTATGGGCTCCAGTTCCTTTGTCATTTTGAGTGTCATGCAGGTGTATTTTTGCCTCATGCGTCAGAGACCCTGGATCTAGATGGACTGATGGAGGATAGCGAGGGTGGAGAAGGGATTGGCGGCGGCCCATGCATGTACCGGTAGCTACAGACTACTACAGTGCAGCAGTAGGGTAGTCTAGTGCTAGCGACATGGCCCAGAGAGTGGGGACTGGTAATATTGCTGGTGGTGGGTGGTGGGTGGTGGGTGGTGGATTTACTCCCTCAGTAAGATGACGAGGCCGACGTCGAAGCTAGCCACTAGTTCTATCTACTAGGGGGGAGGAGGGGGGAGCATTGGCAGTCGTACTTTACCGGGAGGGTAGGGAGGGGGGTGTGAGAATGGGAGGGACGAGCGAGGAGAACGGAGGCCATGCTAGTAGACTAACTAGCATTCACAATCATTATGAATAAATACCTCCAAATTGCTTAAAAAAATGCTGTGGAGAAGAAAATAGGAAGTGAAAGCACATCCCTGCCTGAAATTGTCAAGGACGTGCTGAACAAACCTGTGACTAAGGATTGAGTAGGTAGGTCGGTACGTAGGTCAATACTGGCTACTGTGATAGAGACATTGCAGTCAAGATTTTTGTTCTTGCCTCTCGGACATTTGTCGTCTCGGAGCGGAGGTCCAAGCTTACATCCACCGTGGACACATGTCTCTTTCGAGATCCATGCAGTAGCAATATTTTTGACTCGAGACTATAGATTTCTGTGCCTCTATCTACCAGAATGAGGTCATTCTCCATGGGCCAGAATATTTCTCTCTTGGGCCATGCGGATTTTGAAGGAGGAGGTGGCTCTCCGACCAATTCAGATAGGCAAGAGACGCCGACCAGCCGACAGCCTAAAACAACCAGGTAAACAGTAAGTAAGCCGGGTGGAGGCGACCAGTGTTTGTTTGTCGGTTGGGTGATCAGCCAACCGAACAAGGAATCACGACTAAAGTACGGAGTACAACTGTACCTAATATGGAGGTAGTTGCTAAAGTAGGCCTGAATACAGTGCAAACGTGCGGTAGTAGCCTGAAAGTACCTGTGGAAAATTGAGCGCAGCATCGGCTCGATCCTCCTGTGCTTCTTCTCACAAAGTGGTTCTTCATGTCGCTCCAAATCTGTTGATTTATCAATAATCGCTATTTGCAGGTCATTTAGGTTGAGAGATAAAGGCTCACAAAATACAAAACGCTGTCCTCCTTATTCAATCTTCGCTACGCTAGTGACTACGCAAGCGTAGGACGCGAGCACAATGGCTGTGATTGAAGTAGATTAGGATTGCTCGCTTGATACTTCTTCAGCGGGGAAGGGAAATCAAGAACATGTTTCCTTGCTATAGTTCCCACCGGGTGTCCAGAGACACTGGACTTCTAATCCTATCGAGGTACATCATGGTGCATCCAAGCTAAAGACATATCTACAAAGTTATTTACAGTACACAACTAGGATAAATCGTAGCTGGTTGGCTTCCAGTGGCTGCGATCGGAAATATTGCTAAAACAGAATGAGGCTAATGAGGGGAAGAGGGCGGGAAGAACGCAGCCCAGGGAAGCCGGCAGGAAAACAGAAAAGGAATGCAATAGCCCTCCGTTCACGTGCTACTCCGACCCATCCATCCTTTGTTGAATCAGCTGTATACGCATGACAGGTAAGGTATTAGGTATTATTGTTACCCTGCCTGTTACGGCATTCAGGGTTGCTAGTCTTTGCAACCGATTTACAAAGGCGCGAACACGGAGTCTATTCCTATATTCCAGAATAGCCTCGCAAACAAAGAGAGCACTTGTCATGAAATGAATCTCCTCCAAGAGATTGAGACCTGCGTCATTTTTTTTGCCTCGGTATCATGTCACTTCGGAGTGGTAATGGATTGATATGTTGTGTGATATCGGATAACTAGTAAACAATCCAGTTAATCAGGTATTCAGTTAAATATAAGTAGTTTCTTGATAATTAGTTGAGTAACTAGGTAACTAACTACCTGGGCGTCTGAGTAATCACGGCGTGGTTGATCGGATCGTGCTAAGAGAAAAGGAATGAGTCCTGGAATGTATGCGATTTGACAACTGAACTCAACTAGCTCGGAATGGCAACAGTAGGACAGCTCCCCGGCTCCCGGGCCTGATGAATCAAATCAGGTTCTTTTTATCTACGGAGTACAATCTGTATGACAGGCAACTTGAGAGTATGGAAGATATCATTTAACGAGTTACGGGTTTTTCAGTCCGAATTGTCTGTCAATGAAATTCTGGTTTGAGAGCCTAATTCATTCACTGAAATTTATTACTGCCCCCCACCTCTAGATTCGAGCACCGGATGATGGCTGGCCAGGCAAGATGCCCGTATTCGAGATTGTCAAGTATGGGTTGGAATGTAGCGTAGGTGACGAGGTATAGGTAGCTAAACATCTGGGCATTGTTGAATGAGGACCTGTAGCGAATAACACAATCCGGGTGACTACATTCTCAGTGTATTCTGATCGTAATTTCCTCTCTGCAAATTTCATTCATGCGAATTGTCGAATTTTGGACGTAGATTTACATTGCGAAAGACTACCATTGACGTCTGTAGTCTGAAACACTGGCGATGGAATGAGAAGAGAACCGATAGGTCAAGAGCCTTGTTGAAGCTTTAGGTACTTACAGGTACTAGGTAATGAAGTACCTAGTAGCTACCTGTTACCTAGTAGTGCTTCGCACGAAGCAGCCAATCAACGACCTCTTACAGCATACTGCTTCTCCGAACGCAAAGGCCACTATGGCACTGAGGACAGGGCCGCCTCCGTCCAGGCTCTAGGCTACCGTTCCCATCTTGGTCCGAAGACTGGAGGGCAAGGACTTGAACAACCATCTTAACCCCAGGGAGCGAAGCGAGCCTGGGTCCCGAGCCCACACTGTAACGTAATCGGTAAGCGAGTGGCGCGTGTAAGCCAGCGGCGCGCTGCATTTCCCATATAAAATAGTAATTTCCAATCCCTTATATCTCGACCAATTCTGGATATTATTCTATATAATCTTATATACAGCTTTATATAGTTATAAATTAGTACTAATATCAAGGATTTCTAATTTAAAGCTTAATAAGACTTAATACACAAAAATACAGTGTATTTTTGTATTTTATTCTTTTTCTAGAATAACTTCTTTTTAAAAAGATATAGATATTTCTAAATAAGATTTATAAAGAATTAATATACTTATTTCTATAATATATTTATTTAAAA